ATGTGGTATTCCCAAGTTAAAAGGTGACAACTATAAGGTCTGGAAGAAGATAGTTCTTCTTCATTTTAAGTGGATGGACATTAATTATGCTACTAGAAAGGACGAATCACCAGCTATTATCGTAACCAACACTCCAATTACAGTTGATCTTTATGAAAAGTGGGAGAGGTCTAATCGTCTCTCTATGACTTTCATAAAGACCAACATTTCTGTTGGTATTCGGAGTTCTATCGATCAATATGATAAAGTTAAGGATTTATTGAAGGTCATTGATGAACAGTTTACTACTTCTGATAAATCTCTTGCTAACACCCTTATAATGTAATTTTCATCTATAAAGCTCACTAGGATTAGAAGAGTGCATGATCACATCATATGCATAAGGGATATAGTGGCTTAGCTGAAAGCCTTGGAGGTTACCATGTTTGATTCTTTCTTGGTACACTATATTTTGTGTACCTTGCCTCATCAATATGCACCCTTTAAGATCTCTTATAACACATATAAGGATAAGTGGTCTATTAATGAATTGTTGACCATGTGTGCTTAAGAAGATGAAAGGTTACTGATGAAAGAAGGGGAGAGGGTGAACTTAACTACCTCTGCGAGGAGTAAAAAGAATCAAGTTAATCACAAAGGAAAGTTTCTTGTTCAGTCGAACATAAAGAAGGAGTCAAAGTGTTTCTTTTGTGAAAAAAAAAATGACACATAAAGAAAGACTGCTTGAAATTCAAGACATGACTAGACAAGAAAGGTAATCCATTTGCTTTTGTTTATTATGAATCTAATATGGTTGATATTAATCATAACACATGGTGGATTGATTTTGGTTCTACAATCCATATTTGTAATACCTTGCAGGTTATGCAAAACCTAAGGAGGCCAGTGGGAAGTGAGCAATGCATCTACTTAGGGAATAGGATGAGTTCACATGTGGAGGCCGTTGGAACGTGCAGTTTAACTTTAAATAGTGATTTTGTTTTAAATTTAGAAAAGATATTTTATGTTCCTAATTTTTCTAAGAATTTGATTTTAATTTCAAGACTTGCGCCTTTAAGTTTTTCTTTTAATTTTTTAGACACTGGTTTTACTTTATTGAATAAATCTAAAATTGTTGGTTTTGGTAAATTATGTGATGGTCTTTATTCTATTATTTTGCGATATAATGTCGCTTATAATTCTATGCACGTTACTATTGAGGTAAAACGATGTGTTGTGAATGAGGAATCCTCTATGTTATGGCATTGGAGATTGAGCACATCTCCATTAAGAGAATTAAGCGAATAGTAAATGAAGGGAGTACTTAGTGCTTTGGACTTTACTGATTTTGAGACTTGTGTGAATTGTATTAAATGTAAGCAAACTAATAAGTCTATAATTAGTGCCAATAGGAGTTCAAACCTATTAGAGATCATTCATACATATATTTATTGTCCAGACATGGACGCAAGTAGTCTGAGATATTTTATCACCTTTATAGATGATTACTCATGATATATGTATATCTACTTGTTTCGTTCTAAGGATGAAGTTTTGGATGCCTTTAAATTTTATAAGGCTAAAGTAGAGCTGTAATGTGGAAAAAAAAATTAAGATTGTGAGATCAGATAGAGGTAAGTAATACTATGGTAGATACATAGAGAATGGATAAGCACCTGGTTTATTTGCAAAATTTCTTCAAGAATATGGTATTGTTGTCCAGTATACTATGTCTGGTTCTCCGGATCAGAATGGTATGACAGAAAGAAGGAATTGAACTTTGATGGACATGGTGAGAAGCATGACGAGCAATGCAAGGCTTCCTCAAATCTTGTGGATTGAAGCACTTAAGACGAATGTCTATATATTAAACAGAGTTCTAACTAAGGCTGTATCAAAGACACCTTTTAAACTGTTCAAAGGGTATAGGTTTTATTGTCCATTTCGTAACACTAGAATTGTGGAATCGAGAAATGCAAAGTTCCTTAAAAATGATTTGATTAGTGGGAGTGACCTAATTCAAGACATTGCTCTTGAAACATATCATTATAAAGCTAAACCCTCTGAGTCAAATGATAAATTGTTAGTCATTCATGCTCCTCCAGTTCAAGAGCATATTAGACAATCAGTTATCCAAGTTTCACAACCTGTTGAATATGATTTGATAGGTCAAGTTATTGACGAGAAGCTGCAAGTAAATGTTGATCAACCTGTTAAGGAAATGGTTGACCAACAAGTTCTTTATCAAGATAATGAGACAACATTAAGGAGATCTACTAGAGTCAAAAAGTTGACAATTTCTAGTGACTATGTGGTGTATTTACAAAATCTGACTATAACGTAGGAGCTGAAAATGATCCTGAAATGTTTTTACAAGTCATGAATTCTAAGAAATCAAATTTATGGTACAATGCCATAAAAGATGGGATGGATTCTATGACATTTAACAAAGTTTGGAATCTCGTTGAGTTGCATGATGATGTAAAAGTCATTGAATGTAGATGGGTCTTTAAAACCAAGAAAGACGCACAAGGTAACATTAAGAGACAAAGGCAAGACTTGTCGCCAAAGGGTTCACTCAAAGGGAAGGAATCGATTACAAGGAGACATTTTCTCTTGTGTTTAAAAAGGATTCTCTTCGAGTGATTATGGCATTGGTAGCTCATTTTGACCTTGAGTTACATCAAATGAATGTGAAGACAACCTTCCTCAATGGTGATATAGAAGAAGAGGTTTACATGAAACAACTTGAAGGATTCTTCTCTAGTAACGGTGAGCATTTAGTCTGCAAGCTTAATAAATCTATATACGGATTAAAACAAGCATCTCATCAATGGTATCTAAAATTTCATGAAGTCATATCTTTATTTAGTTTTGAAGAAAGCATCATGGATCAATGTATATATCTGAAGGTTAGTGAGAGTAAGATTTGTTTCCTTGTTTTATACGTGGATGATATTTTGGTTGCGACTAATGATAAGTGTATGCTATATGAAGTGAAACAATTTCTCTCAAAAAACTTTGATATGAAAGATATGGGTGACACATCTTATGTCATAGGCATTAAGATCCATATAGAAAGATCTCGAGGCATTTTGGGTTTGTCTTAAGAGACCTAAATTAACAAGGTTTTAGAGAGGTTTAACATGAAAAATTGTTCACCAAGTGTAGCTCCCATCGTGAAGGGTGATAGGCTTGAATTGAGTTAATGTCCGAAAAATGACCTTGAGTGAGAACACATGAAAAATATTCCATATGCTTTAGTTGTTTGCACTAGATCTGACATTGCATTTGCGGTTGGAGTTTTAGGAAGATATCAGAGTAATCCAGGTGTTGACGATTGGAAAACTGCAAAGAAAGTAATGAGATATCTTCAAGGAACAAAGGATTACATGCTTATATACATACGGACTGATGCTTTGAAAGTGATAGGCTACTTTGACTCATACTTTGTTGGCTGCATTGATACCAGAAAATCTGTATCTGGTTACATTTTTATGCTAGCTTATGGAGCTGTGTCTTGGAGCAGTGTGAAGTAGACCTTAAGTGCTACTTCCACTATGGAAGCTGAGTTCTTTTCTTGTTTTGAGGCTACTTCACATGGTGTATGGTTGAAGAATTTTATATTTGGGCTTCGAGTTATGGACTTTGTATCTAGGCCTTTGAAGGTGTACTGTGACAACTTTGCTGCAGTATTTATGACTAATAATAACAATAGTAAAAATCAAAGTAAACACATTGACATTAAATATTTAGTCATAAGAGAATGTGTTAAGGAAAAGAAAGTGGTCATTGAGCACGTTAGCACTGAGTTGATGATTCCCGATCTTTTGACTAAAGACATGCCACCAAAGAATTTTAAAGATCATGTAGCACGAATAAAACTTGGTTTCATGATGTGACAATCATTATGGGTACTTTTATTTTTTTTATAAGACTTTTATTCAGATTTAATGTTTTCTCTTTCATTTTATGCACATTTTTGTTTGTTTGAGAAATATCATTTAGTTTTGACCTTGAATGAACATGTGATTTATTCATTAAGTTGAGAGCTAGTGTTGAGAAACTTGATATATTGTGATACATAAAAGATAATACTCACTATTAAAGGAACTATCATCATAATTCATATATTTGGCTTTTTATTATGGTTGATAATGGGATTAATGGATCATGTGGAAGAATGTTAGCAATCAATTTCTGTTTCTAGTTCTGATTTTCAAAGAATATTACGTGATCCACATAACTTCATTATTTGCATCTGCTTTTGTTCCACACGAAATTTACTTTCACTATTTTTTCAGAATGAGCTCTATAATGGCTATAAATATTTTACACTTTATAGTTTTAGGTTACTGAATCTGCTCTTCTTCTTAAAACAAAGCATAACATCATACTTGAGTGAGTGAGGATTTAAAAAACTAGAACTCTGACTGCAAATTAACTTTGTAATGGTTGAAGTTTAGTATTCTCAATCTGTTTCACTTCCACATAACTTTATTACGGTTTTCATGATTTACAAAACACAGAAGTCATGCACAAAATTAGTTTCAAAAGAAGAATAAAATTCTTAAGCTCATAAAGTATAAGAAAAAGGAAAGAAGTTAAATTCAAACAAAGTAATTAAAAGCAAATGATTGATTGAATTGATAATGATCATTTACACACTTTGATCCAATATTTATGCCAAATAATTTGAATATATCCAAATTGCCCATTTATTGCTCATATAAAATAAAACTTTCATATATCAAAGTGATAAACTATAAGGAGTCGCAACATTTTAACTTTAATTATATATATATATATATATATATATATATATATATATGTAATACATTTTAATACAAATTTAGCTAGTCTATTCAGAACGAAGTTATTGAATTAAACTCTAATCACAAACATCTAGAGATTCATTATACTGACACTATGAAAAAATGTCTTAATAAAATGTTTAATTTAAATTAATCTATACATACATTTTAATAATATTTAATAAAATTAAATTTATTAATCTTTGAACCAAACCAGCATTTGAGGTAACGAGGAACAGTTTTATATGTCCGTTTCGTTTGGCTAGGCAGGCCGCGAGTTCTACCCATGATCTGGTTTGCTTAACTTGGCTCCGGAGATGTCAACGAGAAGATGAACAATGGAATAACCAGACCTTTCTTATCGTCACGTGGCTTCTGTAGCTCGCTTATCTCACCCCATCAACCATTGCATCAAAACCATGACTTTGTTCCTCGCTCTACTTCGTTATCAAATGCTCTACAGCATTACATTAATTCCGATACTCCTTCCCACGGCCAAAAGATCCACTCCACCATTCTTAAAACTGGGTTTGTTCCAAACACCAATATTTCCATCAAACTACTTATTTTGTACCTGAAATGTAACTGTTTAAGATATGCACGCCAGGTGTTTGATGATTTGCGGAACGCAACCTTATCTGCTTATAACTATATGATTGGTGGCTATCTTAAACAAGGAAAAGTTGAAGAGTCACTTGGTTTGGTGCATAGGCTTTTAGTGTCCGGGGAAAAGCTTGATGGGTTTACTTTTTCAATGGTTTTGAAGGCATCTACTTCTGGGGTTAATGTTGCAGTGCTTGGTGATCTAGGTAGAATGGTACATGCTCAGATTCTCAGATCTGATGTTGAGAAAGATGAAGTTCTTTGCACGGCACTGATTGACTCTTATGTTAAGAATGGGAGGGTTGCTTATGCTAGGACAGTATTTGATGTGATGTCGGAGAAGAATGTGGTATGCTCAACTTCCCTCATCTCTGGTTACATGAATCAAGGCTCTTTCGAAGATGCAGAATGTATTTTTCAGGAAACTTTGGGTAAAGATGTGGTGGCATTTAATGCAATGATTGAAGGCTACAGCAAGACTTCTGAATATGCCACGAAATCTCTTGAAGTTTACATTGACATGCAAAGGTTGAACTTTAGGCCAAATCTTTCTACCTTTGCTAGCATAATTGGTGCTTGTTCTGTGCTTGTAGCATTTGAAATTGGGCAACAATTGCAGAGTCAGCTCATGAAGACTCCGTTTTATGCTGACATAAAATTAGGAAGTGCCCTTATAGACATGTATTCCAAGTGTGGAAGAGTTGCGGATGCTCGAAGAGTTTTTGACCACATGCTTGAGAAGAATGTTTTTTCATGGACATCTATGATTGACGGATATGGGAAAAATGGGTTTCCTGATGAAGCACTTGAGCTATTTGAAAAAATGCAGACCGAGTATTGCATTGTACCCAATTTTGTGACATTTCTAAGTGCTCTCTCGGCTTGTGCACATGCTGGACTTGTGGATAAGGGTTGGGAGATCTTTCAGAGCATGGAGAATAAATACCTGATAAAGCCAGGGATGGAGCATTATGCTTGCATGGTTGATCTGTTAGGACGAGCAGGGAGGCTGAATCAAGCTTGGGAGTTTGTCATGAGGATGCCTGAGAGACCCAATTCGGATGTGTGGGCTGCTTTTCTTAGTTCTTGCAGACTCCATGGTAGTACAGAGATGGCAAAATTAGCTGCAAATGAGCTTTTTAAGCTGAATGCTGATGGAAGACCAGGTGCATATGTTGCACTATCTAATACTTTGGCAGCTGCTGGAAAATGGGATAGTGTAACTGAGCTTAGAGAAATAATGAAAGAGAGAGGAATATCCAAGGACATTGGCTGCAGTCGGGTTGGAGCTGATGGCGTCTTTTAGTTCTCATGAAGGGTGCAAAAGATGCAAATTGGCATCTTTTTTTGGTTAAACAAGATGATTCTTCTTGTGCTCGTGACAAGATGTTCGATGAAGTGGATAGGCAATGGTTTTAGGAGGAAGTTGCAGGAGTTATAGTTTTTAATTGAAAAATTAACAATTGCAATTCAAACTACTACATAATTTATTAATTATTACAGATGTACATGTATGTGATCACAATCTCTACTGTTGAATTTTCTATATATTCCAATTCCAGAGCATAGTAGTTGTTTTTTGTCTTGACGAGTGACACTTAATTAAAAAGGAAAAGGCAAAAATGGTCTGCCATGGCTGAGAGGGATACACAGAGAGTAAGAAGAGAAAACTTACTTTCAGTATAATTAGATTTTGAAAAAAATATTGGTATCATGATTGTATCATTCCTTGGGAATTCCTGAAAACGTGCAATTATTCTTTTCTTTCGTTTTTCATATACGGGCTGTTTTGTTTCAACACATATTTCATTGCAGGGAATTCGTAGAAAAACGATTTATAATTTTTATAACAAATAATTTAATTTATAACGATTAAAACTGATTTATATTGTATTAATGACTTACAATTTTGATTATTTGCTTAATCCAATCTCGATATCGTGTCGTGCCCGTATCTTGATTTTAATCCATGATATGCTGAGTTTGTTCCTCAGTTGATACCCCGATTTGCATCCCCACTTGGACACATCAATTTAATGATTCAATCTTAGCATAGGCAACGCAGACAGTTGTTAGTATTTGCAATTGCCACGTCTAATTAATTGCGAAAAAAATAAAAATAAAACTTTATCCATATTGGCAAGAAAAGTGGCGTGTGCAGAGAAGGTTCGTTAATAATGTAGGAGGACGTGATCAACGTGGGGTTTTGTTATTGGTAATCAACCCTATTCTTTCTAACCGGCGTTTAGCTACGTGTTTATGTATTCTTATTTCGTTTTGTTTTTTCATCTTAACTCATTTTATTAATATTTCTTGTGCTCTCCGTCAATGCTCTATTTTATGTTGTATTTGGCTTCTAAGAAGTTAAAAACTTCAAGGTAGTGAGGAAATAGCATAAACCAAAGATTAAATTCACAAGATAATAAAGCATGTGTTGCTGCTCTGAAGATTGTCAATGCAGGCCTCTTGGGTTTTTGTTGGGCCTTCCTTTTGCCTTCTTGTCTCTCCTCATCTCCCTCGTGGGTGTGATTGTTTGGATCGTTGGGTAAGTTCCTCTCTTTTCCATCTCTTCTATATCTTATTTAGAGTACTTTGAAGAACTCATTAAAATTACACTAATCTGGTTAAAAGTTGTAATTTATAGCATTGGAATCAATTTATATTTAAGCAAATTGATGTGAATCCAAATACTCTTGGTTAAATGAGTTGAAGTACCTTGTTTTGATTATTTGATTCGAAAAATTGAGCACAAGTTATGTGGGTGATTCCATGGCAGGTTGATTTTGACATGCATATGTCCGTGTTGCCTTTGCGTGACCATCATAGTTGAGTTTGCTCTGGCGTTGATCAAGGCTCCGATTGTGGTTATGGAGTGGTTCATCTCCAAGATTCCATGTTAGATGTTAGCATTTTTTAAAGTGATGGTGCTAATTTTAGTTGTATTCTTTGGTTGATATTGACTTCTCATTTCATGAGCATTGGTTTGATTATTTTTATACGAATATAAAGCTAGCAATGAACTACTCTCTGGGTCCTACGTTGAATTCTGATTTTCAAGGTTTCTTCTTTCTTCTTGTCCTCCCTCATATCCTTGGTGGTTTAAATTTACAGCAGCAACTTTTCCTAAACTTAAAGCAAAGAAAGCAAATGTAACTTAAAATAATTTTTATTTTACTGCTGTTTCCCACTTGTGAAAGGCCAACCAACAGTGTGGTAATGAACATTTTTTTTTTGGTGGATTGCTAATGAAACATTTGAAGACATTGAGACAGTGGATAGAATGGCATGTATCAATAATTAGTATTTAATATGTAATTAAAGTTTATAAGAAAAGAGAAGTTATCAACACGAGGGACATTATTTTATGAAAAAAATAATAATTATTTAAGTTAAGATTATTTGTTTATCTATCTATTTTTGAAAATATATATCATTAAAAAATAAAACCTAAAGTGAAAACTTTATTCGAGATTGAGATTGGGACCTTATGCAATGCTTTAGCCATCGTCCTGCACTAAATGACATTCTTACGATTTAAATCGCCGTCAAACTCAAGGAAGCTATTGTCAATGGTAAATAGATAATTTCTGCCAAATGTAACAATGCTCCACAAGATGAGACAAACCAGAATTTATGGGAATCCAAAACAATTTCGATTTCACTAGTCTTTAGTAAACATTACAATTAGAGTGTATGCGTTTCGAGATTTGTAAAATTATTTTGCAGTGTGTAAATATGAGAATATAGCATTTTTATGTATGTTATAAATCTAAAAATAATCACAAACAGTTAATTTTTAAGATTGAGTTATATTCATATTTTACTTGATTTTTATTCCCGAGGGTAAAATTTAATATTTTATGGGACTGTTGAAAATTATAAATAGTAATTTTCATTTTTATCTTTCTTTCTTTGAATTTTTAAAAAAAATTCTAGAGTGAAAAGGGAATTGGGGAAAGAAAAAAATTATTTTAAACTAAATAAAAAAAAATTAAAAGTCAATTTCTTTTACATTTCCCCTTTAATTAAATAAAAATATAGATTGTAATTTTTGTTTCTTTTTTCTCTTCCACCTTAACAAAGCATTGTATCTTCATCTTTTAATTTTTTGAGTTTTTCTCTTTTCTTAATTTTTATTTATTTTTGTTAAAATAGATTAACCTATATCATAAAATAGGATAACAAACTCAACTTATTTTTGGCAAGTCAAGTAGATCAATCACTTTTTCCATCAGTAATCAATACAAGTCGACATTACAAATCCTTGTTCCTTAAAACAAGGATTTGCAACATCTACATTGTATTTTTTACATCGTGTTTTACAGAAAATAAAAATGATTATAATTTTTTATTCTTATAATAAAAAGTATTATTTATATTTTTTTTCTCTGTAAATATTGAATATTTTATAATAAGTATTTATAAATATATTTTGTTAAGATTTAATTTTTAAAAAATAAAAGAATTAAAATTTAATCCTACCTTCAACTCTTTTTTATTAAGTCTTGAATTGAAAAGAAGCCAAAACTTCCACGTAATATGACATGTTATTTAATTTTTTTATTTAAAATTAATATTTGAAAATAAATTATTGCACACACTTTACATAATTATAAATAAGTCTCCTTTTCTTTACCCTTAATCCTTTCTCCAATATATTAATCTCTCCTCCTCCCCTTCCTTTTTACCTTAGGCCCACCCCAACCCTTCTCTCTCTTTCCCCCTTGATAGAACACTCTTTATTCTTTTATATGCTATTACTAAAGAATGTAGAAATGAAAACTATGTTGGGAGATGGAGTTGAGGAGGGTGTGGAAATGAGGTTGAAAGAGGGGTAGTGTAAGGGGGAGAAATGAAAACTATGTTGGGCTCTGAAGCACGAGTACTCCATTTTTGTTTAAGTACTGGTACCGGGTAGGGGTACGGGGACGCAGTGGGTACGTCAGTGGGTACATGGGATGCGTTAATGGGTACAGGAAAGGAAAACTTTTTGAAAAAAACCAGTTTAGGTTAGGTTTTATTTTGGGCCCAAAATCAACCTGACTTTCTCCCAACATTTTCGCAGTTCACCCTCCACATTTCAGCCTTCAACCCGTGCTTCCCAACTTCTGCAAAACTCCTCCATCAATCTTCCAACCTTAAGCACCTCCATCATCCTCAACTTGCAGCAACTCTTCAATCTAGCATCCATTGTACAACATCCAGCACATCTAGCAATTGCAACACAATCAGTGTCCAGCGTCCAGAAGCGACGGCGACGTCTAGCGTTCTACATCTAGCGTTCAGTAGTGGCAGCGGCGTCCAGCGTCCAACAACTTCTAACTTACATACATCACCTCTGTTCATCCTCCACTCTAACCTACGCAAAACTCCATCTAGCCTTCCAACCTCAGTTGTGATTCATCTTTGCTCTCTATCTCTACTCCAAGGTAAATTTCAAATATGTAATTAATCTCTAGGAACACTAAACTTGATCTGAATTAAAATAAATTAGTGATTCAAGTTTATTAATTTATTTTGTAACAGAAGCAATCACAATATTTTAGTGGTGGGTCTGGTAGTAGTTCTAGGACATTCTTGCCCAGTAAATTTTTCATGGGATCAGTTGAGGGTGAAAATCCTCTTTAAAGTTATGTAATTTTGTTACAATGTAAAAAAGATGGTAGAAGAAATGCTAAGTTGGCGTATTGTTAGAGATGAAAATATATTGAGTTAGGCTAGACTTTGATTAAATAGGTTTAACCTACTTAAAAATTTTAAAACTTGATCTATGTAAAAGTCTGTTTTGGCCTATTAATCATTTTAATGGCATACTTCATATTAAAACTTTAAATAAATAAATTATTTTATCATTTTTAATTGGAGAAGATATTTTGTTAATATAAAAATAAATAAATAAATAAATAATAATAATAATAATAATAAAGAGTTACATATAATATAAATAAGTACATAAAAAGCTGATGAATGAGATGAATTAGTGATAGATATATTGATACAACAAATCAACGTTATACTTATAATATAAATCAAACAACAATAACACAGAAGACTCTAACAAGCAGGACTTTGTAGGCACACTTTTTTAATTATAACGAAAAGGATTAGAGTTTTTAATTTAAAATTTTATTCATTTTAAAATTTATTTTATTTAATATAATATTATATTATAATTTTTATATAAATTTATTTAATATATTATTATAATTTTTATAAATTTTAAATAGGTTATTCTAATAAATCTAGTACGTTTTTTTCTTAAGCTCAAACTTAACTTATTTAATTAATTAAGCTTATAAAAAATTTTAAATTAAGCTTAATACTTAAATAGGTCAAGTCGTATTAGGCTGTAAAAAGGCTAGACTTAAGTTCCTATCAGAAAATCTAATCTATTTCTATTCTTACTTGTTATCAGCAGTCAGTTCAATATTTAATAAAAAAAATTTTTACAAAAATTAAATCTTAATAAAAAATTTTATAAGAACTTATCATAAAATATCTAAAATTTATAAAGACAAAATATAATTAAACTAAAAAAAATACTTTAAAATTCAAACTTATCATTAATTCATTATTGTAGTTTTTTTTTATTGCAGAGTTTGTATTAGTTTCTATGCATCATTCCACCGTTTTATTTTAGCGATTCGGTCGAATTGAAGCAACTTACACTGAAATTGTTGAAAAAACACTTCTCATTAAAATATAAATAAATAAATAAGAATATAATGATAACCAAAATTGATCCAACAAACTTTTAATTATAATGGACAAACTCTTGTTCGTATTCATTTTAAATTTTATTGTAACTAAAGTATTCTAATCGTTACACACATATGTTCATTATCTTACATTTTTGTCATTTTTTTTTTATAAATATCAACTTTATTAAATACATCATGATACAATGACACGTACAGACACCAAATACACTTTTTATTTCACATTTTGTTTACGGTGAATTTTGTTTTCAATAAACAAATAAATCAAGTGTAAAGAATTTTTAGTACAATAGCATTTCTATAAAAGTTGTAACTTCTAAACTCTTAAATAAAATGTTGTTTATGGATACTTAAAAAAATTAATTGTCTAAAACATGTAAAATTTAAACACAACTGTCTAAAGCATATTTTTCATAATTATTTTGTGTTCTTCATATTTTTTACCACACGTGTTAATCTCCAGTTATGGTAACCACTCCAAACATATTTAACTCAACATATTTTCATAATATGTTAAAATATCTTTATCACCTTAAATTTAAAAGTTTTTTATTCACATGAAATCCTTTAACTTATTTTTAAAGTAATTTTTATCAAGCTTTTGACAAATTTTAGGAAAGGATATTGAAACACTTCTTTTTAACTAATTTTTAACATTTTTTTTTAATAAAACTTGTCAAATCTCCTTAAAATATTTACTTCTTGACTAAAAGTTAAGTTCCTTAACTATTCTAAAAAAGTTATCAATAAATCATCTGTATTTTTTTTATTAAAATTAATTTTTTTTGGTTCTTTTTATTTCACAAAAAAAATGTCAAAAAATAAAATTTTGATATTCATTCAAATTTTAGTCAAAATATCTACTTCTAACTACAACTTTTTAAAAAGAAATATTAAAACTTTTTTCTTATGATTTTTGAGCAAAATATATCTTAATAATACAATTTTTTTTTTCAAAATATAGCATCATTATAACTTAAAAAATTTTATTTTTCTAAAGCACGGTTATAGTGCTTCAAACTCGTTATGAAACCATCCAGAACTTATATAAATTATATTCACACCTTGTCAAAATTTCCTAACTTATATAAAATTATGACATTAATAATATTAGTTTTTATAAATACATTTTTTTAGTATATTAAAAATAAATTATCTAACAAGGTAATTTAGACAATCTACGCATAAAATTCTGAATTGGTCAAAATTGTGACGCACGTTCTGCTTTTGAGGTAGGTTCCTGGCTTTGAAAGTCTCGAAGGCAGATCTAAATTCTAATAAACCAAGGAATATTTGTCATCTGTTTTACAAGCTTACATATATTGTTCTTACGTTGATCCAGACATAACGGTCAAATATGTTGCAATATTCGTCGGCTAATTTTTACACACATTTACCAGCATTCTGACTTTTTTTGCAGAAATTCTGAAAACATAAATTTTATACATATTTATGTCAAATTATTTCAAGCTGATAACATACATCATTAAAAAATGAAAAATCACAGCTTGTCATAAACCCCGCGGTGATAAAACTGTCGCATACAAAGTTTGATACATAATATAAACGTACTGTAACTCTTTTTCACACATATATATTATATTTATTGTTAGTTATACTATTTTTTAAATATGTAATTATGTAATTTTTATTATTTTATTCAACAAGTAATTTTATAATTTTTAATAACTTTTAATTAATTAAAAAAAAGTTCATTAGAAAGAATATAATGGTATCTTCCTTACACTTTTGACAGGCAAGGGTTTGGGTAACACAGGGACCCTTTAATCAACAAATAAAAATATTAAATAGGGACAAACGAAGGCGCTGGCAACAAGTCACAAAACATGGCTGGATTCAGAAACCGGCAATTAAATTAGGCATGTGAATCCTCTTCCTATATCCTCTCGAAGAAAACTCCCACAATTGGTTCAACTTTTCCTATTTAAAATGTCAAAACCCCGTCCATCCACAAATACAAATATAGAAAACTCGTAAAGCCTCTTAGAAGGAAACAACATTACAAGAGGGGGACCAACTAACAAAACCACGACCATGCAAAATCCAATCCAAGGGCAAGGAATAGAATAGTCAACAGTATGTGCCATTATGAGTATCGTACGCTATTATTAAGAATATTAAAATGCACTCCAGTACTAAATTCATTTTAAAATTAAAATGTGAAACAAGAAAGGAAAGGTACTTTGGACTTTGTTTTGTGGCACAATTGTTTAACTGTTTTCCAATACCACAAAGCAAATGGCACATGGTTTCGAAAACTCAACCAAGCTGCGCCCAAAACCCCTTCATAAACCCCTCGCCCTCGTGCCACAGTCACAGTCACAGTCACAGACACAAAAATTCAACCATCCAATCTATTCAAAAGCACAAATTCACATGGAAAGTGCCACTCAAGTCGGCTCAAAGCCTCAACCCATCTCGGCTCTTCCGCCGGTCCCTCCCTCCGCCTTCGATGGCACGCTGGGTCGCCACCTGGCTCGCCGGCTCGTCGAGATTGGCGTCAGAGATGTCTTCTCTGTTCCTGGCGACTTCAATTTGACTCTCCTCGACCACCTCATCGCCGAGCCGAAGCTCAACCTCATCGGCTGCTGCAACGAGCTTAACGCCGGCTACGCCGCCGACGGCTACGCCCGTGCCAAAGGCGTTGGCGCGTGCGTGGTCACCTTCACCGTGGGCGGACTCAGCGTCCTCAACGCCATCGCCGGAGCTTACAGCGAGAACTTGCCGGTGATTTGCATAGTTGGAGGACCCAATTCCAACGACTACGGCACCAACCGGATTCTCCACCACACCATCGGGTTACCCGATTTCTCCCAAGAGCTTAGATGCTTTCAGACGATCACGTGTTCTCAGGTTTATTGAGGATGTGAATTAACGATTCCTGGTTTTAGTTTTATTGTTGTTGTTAATGTTGTTGTTGTTGATGATGATGATTCCTCAGGCAGTGGTGAATAACTTGGACGATGCACATGAGCTTATTGATACTGCGATTTCTACTGCTTTGAAGGAAAGCAAGCCTGTTTATATCAGCATAAGTTGTAATCTTCCTGGGATTCCTCATCCAACTTTTGCTAGAGATCCAGTTCCATTTTTTCTTGCACCAAAGTATTGCACCTTGCTTTTCTATTTGTTAATTAATCAGTGTTTTAAATTTTTACTTATGATCCTACCAATAGAAAAATGAAGCTTTTAAATTATGCTTTGCTAGGTTACGAGTTACGACTTCCGAGTGCATTCCTTTTTTAAAAATAAAAATGCTACATTTACTCATGATATATATATATATATATATATATATATATATTAAATAAAAAACAAAAATTAAATATTTTAGAAACATAAAATCGAGTCAATACTTTATTCATTCGTTGGAGGAATATGAGATATATACAAACGTAAGAAGATTTAATTATTTTTTTTTATTTGTGAGATTATGTGATGAACTGAGTTGCTGACAACCATTTTCGTGAATAAAGTTTGTGGTATCCACATTTGCCATTAGTTTTATGATGAGAATAAAATATTTTACTTTTATGTAGGGTGAGCAATCAAGAAGGATTAGAAGCAGCAGTGGAAGCAACTGCTGCTTTTCTGAACAAAGCAGTGAAGCCAGTGATTGTGGGTGGGCCAAAATTAAGGGTAGCAAAGGCACAGAAGGCCTTTCTGGAGTTTGCAGAAGCAAGTGGATATCCAATAGCTGTTATGCCCTCAGGGAAGGGACTTGTACCAGAGCATCATCCACACTTCATTGGGACGTATTGGGGTGCTGTCAGTACTTCCTATTGTGGAGAGATAGTGGAATCTGCTGATGCTTATGTTTTTATTGGTCCCATCTTCAATGACTATAGCTCCGTTGGATACTCATTGTTGATAAAGAAGGAGAAGGCCATAATAGTGCAGCCTAATAGGGTAACCATTGGCAATGGTCCTTCCTTAGGCTGGGTTTTCATGGCTGATTTCTTGACTGCATTGGCTAAAAAGGTGAAGAACAACACTGCTGCTATGGAGAATTACCGACGTATCTATGTTCCCCCAGGCATTCCTCTTAAGCGAGAAAAGGATGAACCTCTAAGAGTTAATGTTCTATTCAAGCACATTCAAGTAAGTTCTAACTATGAGCTCTTTCAAATTTTTAAATTGAGTGGTTCCTTGGCAGGGATTGGAATTGAAGCTCCCTAACAGTTACCTTGTTCTGTATTAACAAAGATTTCATTCTAAAGTAGTTCTTTGTTTTTATTCTTAAGAAGGTAGTTGTAAGCATTTCTTCTGTCTATGATTGAACATTATGTACTCCATAACGGAGTTATATATACTTAATTGAAAATCATTTTCGGGGCTTTGCTTACCAACAGTTTTTAGGTCCAGTAGTTTTCTTCATCTGTCAAAATAGTACCTGCATGATTCCTTAATCAGAAACTAGCATGTGAAACATTGGACAAAAATGGGGAACATAACAATTTCAGATTATTCATGTAACATTGCTAAATATGCAACATTATTTGCATGGTTTCCATTAGATTTTTCCCTTTTAGGCGAGTAATTGAATATGTTGAACAGGAACTGCTAAGTGGAGATACCGCTGTAATAGCTGAAACTGGAGATTCATGGTTCAACTGTCAGAAACTCCGCCTGCCTGATAATTGCGGGTGAGCCATTTGCAATTACTGCATCAAACAATATGCTAACTATACAACCTTTATATTGTCGGAATTAACATTGCCAAATTTGAATTCCATCTTTCAGTTATGAATTCCAAATGCAATATGGATCTATTGGTTGGTCGGTAGGTGCTACTCTTGGATATGCACAGGCTGCAACAGACAAGCGTGTAATTGCTTGCATTGGTGATGGCAGTTTTCAGGTAAGATTATAAACAATAGAAACTATATGTGTCCAGTGTATTAAAGAAAATATACAACAGTTCTTCTTTTTACTAAGCGTTGACCAAGAGTATGAAAATTTGTGCCAAATGGATGTTATGCTATAAACAATGCGCATAATCATTCAAGTTAACAATTTGATGGACGTTACTATATTATAATTATTTTCTAAAAGTTAAGCTTAGGGAGGGGCGGTTTTATTGACAAGTTTCCTAATGATGTATGATAGTCCTTACACTAATTTGGTTAGTTACGTCAGAATGTAACCGGTTGAACAAATTATTAAAATTGAAATTTGAAATTGAGATGAAAGATCACCAAATGCGCGTTAGTACAAGCTTGGAGGTGAAATTTGGATACTATACCCTACAACAACTAGTAGGAAAATAATTTATCAGAATATAATCACTTCATTTGATTCACGCGGCTGACCCCAACTTATTGATAAATGCTTTAGTTGTTGAAATTTATGAGTAAATGAATTCCCATGAAGTAAGGTTATCTCAACCATTTTTACCTATCCAGGACATTTGCATAATGTTGTTATGCACCAACTGCAAACAAATCTTTCATTAGTTTCTTTTCGGCTTTATGCTGAATTAATGGGACTTACAGTTTCCCTTATTTAGGTGACAGCACAGGATATTTCAACAATGATCCGCTGTGGACAGAAGAGCATCATCTTCCTCATTAATAATGGAGGTTATACAATTGAAGTTGAGATTCATGATGGCCCATACAATGTGATCAAGAATTGGGACTACACTCGGTTTGTGGAAGCCATTCATAATGGAGAAGGCAAATGCTGGACTGCCAAGGTTAGCATGAAATTGAACTGTTTATCTTGTGTTACTGAATTAGTTCGTTATTTAGTTGAAGGGTAATATTTACATTTTATTGGATCTTTTAAATTTTAATGGAGTAGAACTACAGACGATGATGGGGATTCTTTTCTTCTCCATTTATTACTGCATCTAAATGAACCAAAAAGCACAAAGACAAGAAAACCAATAGTTAGTTAATTAAAAAACATTAATCATGAAAATTGTTTGCTCGTGGTTCCAAAGGAGTGTTATTGTTGTGAGTGTAGGTACGTACAGAGGATGATCTGACTGAAGCAATTGCAAAGGCTACTGGACCACAGAAAGATTCACTGTGTTTTATAGAAGTTTTTGTACATAAGGATGACACCAGCAAAGAGTTGCTGGAATGGGGATCCCGTGTTGCTGCTGCCAACAGCCGTCCTCCTAATCCACAATAGAGAAGCCATTCCTAATTATTGCCCTGTTATGATTTGTCTATTTTGTTGAATAGATTTTCACTGGAGGACTTGTACAGCAGAAAAGCGAAGAAAATGAAAAATATGTTGAAATAAATGCTTCCTTTACCAGACTTTTATCTGTTCTCCCGTGCTCTGTTGTAATTTGAAAACATGAACTATTCTTGCTTTATGATAAGATCCTTTGAGATGGAATCGTTAATCGAATCTACGAACTTAAAGCCGTTACATTGCAAATTTGTGCGCTTATTAAGGTTTACTTCTGTTTGATTGAATGCTTTGTTTGTCGGACTGAAAAATATTTTTTTTACATTTATTTTTTAATAAATTTGTAGAGAAAATGATAAAAAAATTATTGTGTTTTCAATGTTTCTTTTATGAATTTTTAAAAATAATAAAAAATAAACCAATGTATTTTTTATAATCATTTGTGAAAACATAAATAAATATAGTATTCTGATACTATTTTATAAATATTTTAGAAAGTAACAAACAATTTGATAAAATAACAATTTTTCTTATTTTATTTATTTTTTAAATATTAAAACTTTAGATAAAGAAATGGTATCCTAATTTAAGAAAAGCAAAGCTTTCAAACTTATATTTATTTTGTTTGAAAAATAAGAGTGAGGACTATAAAAAAAAGTAAGAATTCAAACATTATGTGTGGTGATTTTAATGTCTTTTTTTTTTTTTTTTTGTAAAAAGTAAGATAAAAATATCTTTTTAAAAGCTTTCAGATATTATAAATTGTTAATTAAAATTGGATAATTCAAAATGAATAATAGAAAAATAGTTATATAAGTTAGATTTATGAGATGATATATTAGTAATTTCATGTTTTTCTATTTTTTTTCTTTTTTTTTCATCTTAGTCTTTGACTTCTTGATCTTTTTCTTTTTTGCTTTGTCTTTCTCGTTCTTTTTCTCTTTTTACTTGTTTTCTCTTTTTTTTCTTCTTTTATTTTTATCTAAAAACTGATCATAAATGACAAAATTTTTTATCCAAAAAAATACTAAAAAATTTAAAATGTTAAAATTTTAGAATTTTGTTGGTGTTTTTCTTTTGCCATCTTCTTCTTTTTCTTCTTCTTTTATTCTCATTTCATTAACACCATCAAAGATTCAAAAATAATAGAATTTTTGACATAGAATAATTAGAAAATCCCCTCTAGATATGCCTCTTTAAATCTTACAACGTTACAAATAAAAGCACTCAAATTTTTTCTCTACTTTCTATATCGATTCTCTTACAGAACTGATGTAGAAAGTATATTTTAAAAAAATACTACTTTCTACGTCGGTTCTCTTATAGAACTGATGTAAGAAATAACGACATAAACAAAACAACTTTCTAACATTCTCTAAAGAATCAATATCAAAAGTTGTATTATTTTTAAAATATACTTTTTACATTAATTTTTTTAATCAACATAGAAAGTTACATTTTTTATTTCTTCTATAACATGGGTTGTTAATTAGCTGGGGTGATCCGCAAACAATAATTTTTTTACACGCTTCTTCATTTTACTTAACACTTACAATATAATCTTAATAATGTCGTAACTCTTATGTTTGAAAGAAACAACTATCCATAAAATTGAAAACTCATATTACTCAAACTTAAGAGGCAAATATATTAAGAGGACAATTTACTTTCTTAACCTTTATGACTAACAACAAATACAAGTTACTCATATGCTTTTTTTATTCTATTTTAATTCTAACCATCAATTTAATACAAAATATAATCAACCGTCTTAATTTATTTAGAATTTGCTTATATAACATTTTGTATTTCTATTACTTTTTGGAAAAAAAAAATATTAGAATCACCCTATCAGGATAACAAAATGTACGATTGCAGGCATGCCTCCTTTATTGGAGTGGAGCCTTTGTTGCTTACTTGCTTTGGCCGTTTGCCCCGCCACCTCAATAATTGATTTATATTTCGGCTTTTTTTCCCTTTTAGGGTTAATTTTAAAAAAATTATCCAAATAGGGTTTCATGAAAACAAATTCTCTGTCTGGGGTTGGAGGTCCACGTGGCAAGAGAATCGTCTCTCTTCTAGACGACACCAATTAAACGCAAAAAGAAAAATCAAAATAATTCAAAAACATTCAACGGATGGGGAAGAAAAGGAGACACGTGTGTAAATCGTAGGAGTGTCGGCTGGTTCATAGCCGTCTTCAGTGTCGGCTGGTCCAGAGCCGACTTCAATGTCGGCTGCATCAGGGATGACACAACCGTGATTGGTCCACGTGGCATTGCAGTTTGACCGTTTGTGCGCGGCTCCTTCTTCCTCCTTTATTCTTCTCCGTTAGCGTCTTAGTTGCAGAACATTCATTTCAGGCTCCTGAAAAAAAAAACATAGCATTAGGCACGTTTGTTGGCTCAGAGTTTTCAGAAATTTGAAGAAAAAATTATTATAAGGTAAAAGAAATAATAAATCGAATATAGTTTAATTTTTAAATATGAGATTGCATGCATTTTACATTAAGATTATGGTACAGGTGTAGATTTTCTGGGTGAGTGGGTGGCGATCGGTGGAGGTCCTGAAGAAGAGAGTTGATATTCTATTCATTCTAGTGGAGGTGCACAATTATTTTAATCCTCTTAAAATTTTAATCCTGGAGAATGTATCAAAATTTTTATCCACTGGTTGCAGTAAAATCGGTCTCTACAGTGGACACTACTAAAATCGTCCCAAATAAGACTACATTAGTTCCTGGGATGACATGTGTGCAATTTGGTGAGTGTCATCCTATTAGGAGACGACACTGTCATATTTCGACATGTCAACACCTGTGTCGTTCAGAAGAAAGACGATTCTCTTGCCGCATGGACCCTAACCCCAGACCGAGAATTTGTTTCCATGAAGTCCTATTTAGATAATTTTTTTTAAATTAACCCTAAAAGGACAAAAAACTCATTTATTTTCTGTATAAAAATGCTTGTTTTTCACGAGGTGAAAAGTTTTAAGTAGGTTTTCTATATAATAAAATACTAAAAGTCAAAATCTTTAACTAAAAAATAAAAAATTCCAGAACAAGAATATTAGCAAATAATAATAATAAATATTGTATTTTTATAAAAAATTACTTTTTAAGTATTTTCAAAGTTTTAATTAGGTTTTCTATATAATAAAAAATAAAATTAAATACAATATTTTAAATATTTTTATTTTAAAATTAATAGTCATTTTAATTATTTATGTTAATTTTTTATGTTGATTTTTATTGAATAAATTATTAAAATTAAATTCCAATTTAAATCAATTTATTACATTATTTAAGTGTTCTCGTTAAAATAAATAAATGATTTAATTGTATTTTTATTTTTATATTTAAATATATATACACACAATTTTAATTATTTATATTTAATTTTTTTAATGTTCTATCATTGTGCTTAAAATATCACTTAATAATAATAAAAATATAATATTTTATTAATTTATATAAAGGAAAAATAAAATAAAATATATAAAATTAATAAAATTCTAAATTTTAAAGTGAAAGATTTAGAATATGTTTGATTTTTCTTTTAAAGAGTTTTTTTTTTAAAATATAGTATAAATTTGAAAAAAATAAAAAAATAAAAGAGAAATCAATCATACTCTTAAATTATTTCATTTAAATATTTAAAATATCAGAAAAAATAAATATAAATAATTAAATTTAAAAAAATTAAATTTAGTATAATTAAATCTAATTTCAGTTAAGCCTAAATAAATGGGTGTATTATTGAGAATTCTCCTGTAATAAATAGACGCAGGCCTTTCCGTGATAGTGGACAGCACGCCTCATCAAATTTGCAATGGGATCTGCTTCTCAACAGCCATGGGTTGCAATAGCAGTGTTTGTGATAGCTACAGCGCCACTATCAACGTCATGCCCCTACGCCTCCATCTTCAGTTTCGGTGATTCACTCGCCGACACTGGCAACTTGTATTTCAGCTCCCTCGCACCCTGTCACCATTGCTTTTCCCCTCCCTATGGCGAAACCTTCTTTCACCATCCCTCTGGACGCTGCTCCGACGGACGCCTCATCATTGATTTCATTGGTACCATTTTAACTTTTCTTTTTTTTTCCTTTAATTTGTATATAAGTTTAATGAACTAAGGTGATGTATTGTGGTTGTGCAGCTGAGTCGTTGGGACTTCCACTGGTGAAACCCTATTTTGGAATTAAGAAGTTTGGTGGAATGGGAGATTGGAATGTGAGTGGGGGAGCGAATTTCGCTGTTGTAGGAGCGACGGCGTTAGATTCGGAATTCTTTGAAGAGAGGGGCATTGGGATCAGCACCAATTATTCTTTGAATGTTCAATTGAACTGGTTCAAGGAACTGCTTCCTGCTCTCTGTAACTCTTCAGCCGGTAAACTCTCAATTGTTCTCTCTCATCCCTACCTGCATATCATCACCCATCCATTATTTAAGTAATAAAAATTTGATAGGGTTTATAATTTTATTTATAATTATTTTTATTTTTCATTATATTTTTTGAAAATAAAGATGACAGCTAAATTATCCTTTAAAATTATTTCTCCGGCCAATGCACTCACCTCAATTATATGAAGCATTTATTTTTTCTCATTGAAGGGTGGTTGGCTTTTCTGACTCTTCAAACCACCAAGCCAAACATGTTTATAAAGGATAAATTAATTAATTAATTAATTATTTTCTTAAAAATCATTCTTTATTTTTATTTAACATATTAATTAATTATATGTTAACTTACTTTATTATATACCTATATACGACATTTAAGTTAATTTATGAAATTTCACTAAAATCTAGTGTAGATAATGATGCGACGTTAATAATATTATATCTTCCACGTTTCAAATTTCTACATTTATCTATAAACCTAATCTTAAACCATGACATCTTTTGACTTTTGCCTCATATTGCTACAATTGTTATCCCTCTATGGCCAGCCTTGTTAATGGTATCTATTTTGCCTTCCGACTTATACAACAAGTTAACAATTATAAGGCCCAAATACTCTAAAAGCAATATAAATATCTTAGATTACCTCTATCTATGATCACCGCATCATTAACTTCATAGTCTTGTAAACTAACATTTTGAGATAATGACAAATAAAAAAAATTTACAAATATTATTTAATAAAACATAAACAATATAATCTACCATAATTTAATAATTGGGGTATGTTAATGTGAATTATGTGATGTTTTCACATGAGATATGCTCAAGATGAATTTAATAATTCCTAACTTGCCTTAATTTTATTTGAATTGAACCCCTCCACATTTTAGTGTGTCAGATATTATCCCATTGTTGTCTTTCTTCATCGGTCTCTTGTCTTTAATTGTTAGTTCTTTCTCCAGTAGGCATAAAATTTAGAACAAATTTTCTTGGTGAAGTAAACACCATTGACATGGTTGGCGTCAAATGAAGACGAAAAATAGAATTGAAATCTTAAGTTACAGGGATAAAGTTTCTAAAATTGAGATTCAAATATATAAGAGATAAAATTGTAAATATTTCATTATTATTTACACAATTTTATATTAATTTATATGAATTAAGTTAAATAGCACGACAATATAATAATAAAAGGTAACCGATCATCAAAAGAGGAATTATACAAGAATCCACTTTTAAAAGAAATTATTTAAAATAAACTAAAACTAAAAACACGAAAAACTTGTGATTTTTTTTAAAATTTAAATTTAAAACCTTATACATATATATATATATATATAAAAGTGCACGGACCATCATCATTCGTCACCAATTATTAAAATAGGCACTGGACCATCAATTATGGAACATAAGTGCTTAAACAGGCACAGACCATATTTTTATTTTTATTTTTATTTTTATTTTTACGTTTAAGATTTTGTACAAAATCTTAAGAAATGGTTTTAATCCTAAATTTTATTTTAATTTTTATTACATTTTATCTATTATATTAAGCATCTCACATATTTATTCTTTTATTAAATAAATATTAGTTATTAAAATTAAATATAAAATTATATAAATTACTATTAAATTTTAAAAAATAATAAATTATTTTACTATTTCTCTTTTTTGTTCTGTCACACCTCTTTTTTTAATCACTTTCTTCTTTTGCCTAAAGTATTCCCAAATAGGAATACAAAGATATCATTATTAAAAAATAATAATACTCTTTTAATCTAATTAAAAAAATATGAAAAGCTTTATATTTTAAATTTTTAAATATAATTTATTAAAATAAATTATTTTTAGATTATTTTATTAAATTTTATCATTAAACTTATGTCACAATATTTAATTTAAAAATGGTTAAATAAAATGTATAGGTAAATACATATTTTATTATTAAATTATTTACTTTCGGGGAGTCACCAGATGTATCATAAGTTTTAATACTAAGTCTTATTGAGAGCCTTGCATAATATCATGAAAATACTATTCTAAATACCAATTATTTGATAATTTTTTAAGTATACCATATGCATTTTTTTTAGATTGATAGGATTGTGCAAACATAGATATTTCATTAAAAAAAAAATTCTTATACAGGTCTTATGAAAGAGGTAGGTGCAGAACATACTTCTAATTGGAGATTAGTGTATAAATTATATAAATAAAACTTCTAAAAAGAAAAAAGTTTAGAAGGAGTCATTCTTACACAAACACAAGTCTATTAATTCATTTCGATTTGGTTTGATGAACTGTCTCTCCATTTATAGATGGAAGCGGATACTGGAAGACAAAATACATCAACTAGATCTAGCTTTATTATAGACATATAAAAGAAAAAACATTATTACAAAGTAACTTTAATTCATACTTGATACGTTATTATACAAAATACAAAGGAAAGTAACTTTAAGTACACAATATAAAATTATTTTTCTTTTGTTGTCATCTAAATGTGATGAAATTTGATTTAATTTTTTATTATTAGACTTGTAACTTAGAGATAAATTACAATTTTTTTGAATTATTTGAGTTCATTTTCATTTTATCTGAATAAACGTTATAAAATAAAAAAAGAAAATAGACTTATATAGCTTAGAAGACCTTAATTTCTCTCTGAGTCATTAATCTATCAGTAATGATTAAAATATATTTCATTTTATCAAGACAACATTGAAAAGAACTTTATATTATGTACTTAAAATTGTCTTTTTTATTTTATTTTGTGTAATAATGTTAGGGATCCGGATCCTCTCATGTTTACGCGGGAACATGACTTTCATGTTCAAATTCGCTTAAGCGAATTTTGAACGACTTAAGCGAATTTTGAATGGCTTAAGCGAATTTAAAATGGCTTAAGCGAATTATGTAAAAAAAAAGATAAATTATGTAAAAACTAACAGCATGTTATCAAAGGATAAAATTTTACAAAATTTATTATCAAAGTCAATTCTACTCATCCAGAAACATTTAACTGTAACAATAAAACATGAATAAAAACTCCATTTTATTCCATTCCATTAATGGTATACAATTATTCATAATGAAATTTACCAAAAAAAATTTATTAATACATAGACAAGTAAAAAATAAAAGAAGTTGAGGCATTTTATTCAATTCCATTCATATCAAATATCATCCGGGAATAAATGGGAGAGGATGAAGATAACGAAGAAGTTGAGGCATTTTATTCCATTCCATTCATATCAAATATCATCCGGGAATAAATGGGAGAGGATGAAGATAACGAAGAAGCTGAGGCATTTTATTCCATTCTATTCATATCAAATATCATCCGGGAATAAATGGGAGAGGATGAGGATAACGCTGCTGCAGCGTTATCCTCATCCTCTCCCATTTATTCCCGGATGATATTTGATATGAATAGAATGGAATAAAATGCCTCAGCTTCTTCGTTATTTTTTACTTGTCTATGTATTAATAAATTTTTTTTGGTAAATTTCATTGTGAATAATTGTATACCATTAATGGAATGGAATAAAATGGAGTTTTTATTCATGTTTTATTGTTACAGTTAAATGTTTCTGGATGAGTAGAATTGACTTTGATAATAAATTTTCTAAAATTTTATCCTTTGATAACATGCTGTTAGTTTTTACATAATTTACCTTTTTTTTTACATAATTCGCTTAAGCTATTTTAAATTCGCTTAAGCCATTCAAAATTCGCTTAAGCCGTTCAAAATTCACTTTAGCGAATTTGAACATGAAGGTCATGTTCTCGCGTAAACATGAGAGGATCCGGATCCATAATGTTAGTAGTGTGAATTAAAGCTACTTTGTCATGATGCTTTTCTTTTATGCACTTTTAATTATGATATCTCTAACTTGTGTGATTTGTCTTCTAGTATTATTTTCCATCTTAGATGCAATGGCAATTTGTGTATCAAATTATATTTAAAAAAAAAAAAAAAACTCATGTTTGTATACAAATGATTTTCTTTAATTTTTTTTAAATTTTATTTATGATATTTGTATACTAGTTTCTGTCTATACATATGTTCTACACTTACTGAATTAGATGTTAGTCTCAAATGTGTATTTCTGAATTGCAGATTGCCATAAAGTTCTCGAGAACTCATTATTTCTCGCGGGTGAAATTGGAGGGAATGATTTTAATTATCCTTTATTTGGACGAAAGAGCATAGTGGAGGTTAAAACATTTGTGCCGTACGTAATCAATGCAATAGCTTCCGCTGTTCATGTAAGATATTTGGTTTGACTAATACTTTCAGAAGGCTTTTATACAAAAATAAAAATTAAGTTAAAAATAATTTATAATTTTATATATTTTTTAAAAAATATTTTATTTAATTCTCTAAAATGAGATAAGTTATTTCTATCTTATAAGATAATTTTTTTTTATTTTTTATAAAAAAATTTGTTTTATAAAGATTTTTCAAAAAAGTTGAGCCTAAGGTCCAATTTAGGTGAACTTCTTAAAAAGTTATTATAAAAAAATATAAAAAATCAATATTTTTTTATAAAACGACAATAAATTTTAAAATTAAAAAAAAAACTAATAAATTTTCAAAAAATAAAAAAGTATAGAAAAATTTTATTTATTTTGTATATTAATATTTTTCTCCTGTAAAAGGTTTTTCTAAAAATTTATCTATACCGGGCCTAAATCATTTATTTAGCTGTATGAAAAAACATATTCTTTAAAAAGTTTGGCTATCAGATTAGTTCTTAATTTTTTTTGCCATTATGTAATGGTTTATTTTAGATATTTGAAAAATTAATTTGAGATAGATTAAGTCATTGATGAATTAATTTAGTAATAGTTTTTTTTTTTTTCGAAAATTAAAAGTTTTAGTAACTGCAATATTTTTTTTAAAGACTAACATGATAACAAATGTAACTTTGGAAGAACAAATTGAAAATTTGGTTGTTTTGTATAATCCTTAACTACCCGATTTGATTTCTAGCTTCCAAGCAAACCCAGCGTCTTTTGTACCTTTTGCCTTTACAGGAATTGATTGATCTAGGGGCACGCACGCTTATGGTTCCTGGGAATTTACCACTGGGATGCAGTGCAGTCTATTTAACACTATATGAAACCGTAGATAAGAACCAATATGACCAATATGGGTGCTTGAAATGGTTAAGCGAGTTCGCTGAATATTACAACCAGAAGCTCCAAAGTGCAATCGACAGGCTTCGAGAACTTCATCCTCATGCTAATATAATTTATGCTGATTATTACAATGCTGCATTGCCATTATATCAATATCCCACATATTTTGGTAATTCAACCTTCTCAACTCCTATTGCAATTTATTAGAAGTTCGTTTTAAATAATGCTTTCACAGTACAACTACATACTTCAGCATAATAAATATCATGGATTGTGATTTATATTTTGATGTGAATGCAGGTTTTACAGGTCTCAAAAGTTGTTGTGAAATGGGAGGTACATACGATTTCAATGCATCAGCAAGTTGCGGCAGTCCAAGTGTGGTTGCTTGTGATGATCCTTCTCAGTATATTGGGTGGGATGGTGTTCATTTGACCGAGGCTGCATATAGATTCATAGCCGAAGGTTTAATAAATGGACCATATTCTCTCCCTCAGTTTAGTACCCTGTGCTTCACGAATATAAACAATGAGTATTTCAATAGCTAAATTGTTTCTTCTGTCGAAATAAAACGAAAGAAAATCAATTTACATACTGTTCCTGCTTGAGAAACACTAATCTTTGAGTCTCTGATCTGCGGTGATGACGTCTCTCTAATTGTTACTGACGTGGGGAGGGTACCTGCAAAAGGCACACTGATGCAGAAGTTAGGATTCGGTTCTGAGTAATAAATGTTATTTTAGTAATGAAAAGTTAACCTTTTACCTGTACTTTTACCTTCTTTATATAGGCATTGTAATGGGCCTGTCAAGCTAGTTTTGATTTTTAGCCCTTTATTTAAAATAAATAATATCTTGATTATTACCCTAAGTTAGGTTTAATTACCTCTTAATCCTGACGAAGGGTATCCGGCCAAATTAGGCCGAATATATACTCGGTTTTCTTTTCCTAAAAGTAGGACCAAGTTTGTCTCTATCCAGTACACTAGCACCCCAAGCTCGAAGAGGTACGAAGCGAGGGCTTTAAATAATTAGAAGTGGTAGGCAGTTGATTAGGGTTAATTTGAACAAGATCGAGGAAGGTACTCGGTATTGAATGGACGAGTGGTGGTAGCATTTACACTTGACTGATGTGCATTGTGTATACCGAAGGGTATTCAGTTTAGTAATAGAATGATGGAGACCGAGACAATAGATAAGAAATGATGATACAAAAATAAATAATTGTGAAGGAATATTCTAGAATGTTAGCCGTTAGGGCTTCCTCGGTGTGTAAGAAATGAAAGGGTGCCTAACCTCATCCGTTGATCTGAAAAGGATCTGATGGTTCAAAAGGAGGGACGTCTTTTCGTTTACCCGACACCAGATCCCCATTAAATATGTGGTGGTCCCTGCATCCATTTTCTACTCTTTTGCTCTGTACCGAAACGTGCAAACTGTTGCTCCAAACTGAAAGGTATTTAGAGATCTTCACTTTTTCTTCCATACCGACTACTTTTAAGGTGCGTTCTAATTTCTCATTTCCTTTTCCTTCATGGCCGAACCTATTGAGTGGGAGGATTCTCTGTCCAATGTCTCAGAACTGAATACTGTCGAGGTAGACATTATGAACGAAACTGAGGGGAGTGGCGAGGTTTTATCCATTCCAAACGAGAGGGCTGAAGAAGCACAAGTCAGGGAATACAGCAACGAGGCTGAGTCGTCTACTTCAAGTGATATTGACGCTTCTGAACCCCTACCGAGTACTAGCCCCCTAGGGAAAGATAGGTATTTCCCCGCTGTACGATACCTGGATACGAGTGGGTGCATGGTGAAGTGGCCGTATACTTTTCTCGTTTCTAAAGAAATAAAAGTCTTCAATTTTTTGTAGATAATTGTGACATTTCCTTATGGGAGGCCTCTGAGCCGTATTTGATATGCCTCAATCCTTGCAAAGGGGACGAAATCGAGAACCATGAATTTGTTTTCTTGGGGGGCGTTGGAATGACCGATACCTTCTTTATGTATGAATATATGTTTAAGGAGTTAGGTATTAGGCTACCCTTTGATGACTTCCAAATGCGAGTTTTGAGGGTTTTAAATGTAGCGCCAACACAACTTCACCTGAATGGGTGGGCGGCAATGCAAGCCTTTAGGATACTTTGTAAATTCCATTATATAGAACCTAGTGTAGGCTTATTTCTTCATTTCTTTTGTACCTGCCCATCAGACTTAGCAATGTGGGTATCTTTAATAAGGCAACCTGAGTTGCCTTTGTTTAAACCTTATACTTCGTCCTTCAAGGGCTTCAAAACTGGCTACTTCAAGGTGACCGTGGACCCTGTAGGTAGAAATTATTTTTTTGATAGTGAGAATAAGCCCATCTTCCCCTTTCATTGGACTCGGATGCCTCGTTGATATGACATATTCTCCGAGGACATGTTATCGGCTAAGGAGTTGTCAGACTTAGAATTTTTGAAGTCCCTCCCCCGGAAACTACCTACCCGACATATACTCCTCGTGCTCAAGTCTCCACGTCCTCGTTGGGATATGGAGGGTATGTATCGTCTTGATTTTGACTTATACTTTGAATCAAGTTGTATTGATTTGACTTATTGTTTTTAATGTAGGCTTAATGGCTCAACGAGGTGTTGATGTACCGACCTTCCGTCGTACTTTGAAACAGAGGACGCCGGAAGGTACAACAATTGAGGAGCACCGACACCCTCAAATTGATCAACTTCCAGAAGTATCCGAACCTCGCCCTCCTCCTGAAGACCTAGTCCTTGTAGAAAATTAGCCCAAGAAGCGCGAAGACAAGGGCAAGGGCAAGGAGACCGAGAAGGAGAAAAAGAGAAAACATGTCCATTCAGGTGGGCCGAATGCAGCAGAAGGGGCACATAAGCAAACCCGATTAGCAGCTACTGAAGGGGCGAGTAGTTCCTCAAATCCGGTAGTTCCTCTGGATATGCTTACCGAGACCTTCCTGGCAAATGGAACTCACGCTGACCAGCTAGCTGCTCCTAACCTGTTGTCTAATTCGGGAAAAGAGTTGGTCAACAGTTTAGACTTTGAGTCACTCTGGCGGTGGTATGCAGAACTTCAAGTACGATCGACAGCTATGCTTCGAAGGCTGGTTGTTGATCCAATTCTTGAGGTGAAGAATATGCAGAAGGCGCATTTGGCTTCACAAGAAGCCCTAGCGGAGAGCCGAGAAACTCAATCCAGCCTTGGTGAGACCATTCAATCCTTGGAGGCTGAGGTCAATCAGTACAAGGAGCACTACTGGATAGTGGAGGGACGAGTCAAAACGGCCGAAGGAGCTCTGAGGGCGAAAGAGGAGGAAATGGAGGCGCTAAGGGTAAAGTCTGCTCAAATAGAGGAAGCACTAAGGGCCAAGTCGATCGAGATGGAGGAAGCCTTGGCACTTGAAAGGCAGAAGGCTAAAACCAACCTGAAGGTTTTTGCCGCAAAGTGTTCAGAGCAAGTTGCCTTTGAACACGAGTCTAGTTTTAAGCACGCTGTTCGTCAATGTCATGGATTCTATCACGTCTCGGCCAACTTCCATTTTGACATTACTAAAGACTTCTTCGATGGCCGGTTCATACCTTACACTAAAGTAGATGACGATGTAGAACTGGATGCCGAAGCCCCTAGCCGCGCTGTTGATGAAAACACTCCTGCTCCCCAGGGCCCTGGACCGGATGGTGGAGAAGGGCAATCTTAGAACTATTTTCTTTGTACTTTTGGGCCAATAGTGCCCCAATTTTGTAATTCTATTGAATTTTTGAAATACACACTCTTTTCTGCTATTCTTGCATATTGAATTTTGAAATACAATTTTGTAAGTCTACTGAATACCTTTACAAATGTTATGTTTATGATTAGTTATCTCAATCTTGACCAAGTGGAGATACTTGGGAATTTTAATAGTGTTTCATCCTTGGCCGAGTAGGGTGCTCGGGAGGGAATTAATGAATTCAACCTTAGCCAAATAGAGATACTTGGGAAGGAATTTTAATAGTGATTCGTCCTTGGCCAAGTAGGAATACTCGGAAGAGAATTAATTCAACCTTAGCCAAGTAGAGATACTTGGGAGGGAATTTTAATAACGATTCATCCTTGGCCAAGTAAGGGTACTCCGGAAGGAAATTAAATAATTCAACCTTAGCCAAGTGATACTTGGGAGGGAATTTTAATAACGATTCATCCTTAGCCGCGTAGGGGGTACTCAGGAGGAAAATTAAATAATTCAACTTTAGCCAAGTTATACTTGGGAGGAAATTTTAATAACGATTCATCCTTGGCCGAGTAGGGGTACTCAAGAGGGAAATTAAATAATTCAACCTTAGCCAAGCAATACTTGGGAGGGAATTTTAATAACGATTCATCCTTAGCTGAGTAGGGGTACTCGGGAGGGAAATTAAATAATTCAGAAGATTTGCTTGAAAGAAATCCATAACTGAGAAGAAGTGAGAAGTAGTATTTTATTGATAAGGTGCTTCGTTAAAAGCCTTCTCAGGAAAACCCCTTTTCACTTTCTTTTAAGAGGACAAAACCTAGGTGAGGAAAAAAGTACACCGAATACAAATTACAAGTTTTTAACTAAAGTAATGCTTCAAATGTGTAACATTCCAAGTTCTTGGTATAAGCTTTCCTTCCAATGTTTCTAACTTGCATGCTACATTGTCTAATCTTGCCGTTACCCGAAAGGGGCCTTCCCAGTTAGCCGCTAACTTCCCCTCTCGCCGATCTCTTCGTGCATCTCCTGTTACTCGTCATACCAAGTCATTTTCATAAAATTGTCGTGGATTGATTTTGGAATTAAATTTTCTAGCCATCATTCTTCTGCTGGCCTTGGTCATAATGGCTGCTTGGCCACGCACCTCAGCTATTAAGTCTAGGTTGACGACCAAAGCCTCGTTATTAGCCGATTCCTCTAAATTTTTCCTTCGAAATAAAGGTTCTCCAATTTCTAGCGGCACCATGGCATCAGTACCATAGGTAAGCTGAAAAGGAGTTTTTTTTGTTGTGGTTTGCGGCGTACACTGATAAGCCCATAACACCTTGGGCAGCTTCTCTGCTCATTCCCCTTTTGTCGAACCTAATATTCTTTTTAATTCATGTAAGATCATTTTGTTTGCGGCCTTAGCTTGACCATTAGTCTGAGGGTGTTCCACAGACGTAACCCTGTGCTTGATATGAAGCCCTTCCAAAAATTCATTGAATCGTCGATCTGTGAATTGCAATTCGTTGTCTGTTATTAATGCATGAGGAAGGCCGAAACATGTGATGATGTTTTTCCAGGTGAATTTTTGTACATTGTTGGCCGTGATTGTGGCAAGAGTTTCGGCTTCAATCCATTTGGTAAAGTAATCCACAGCAACAATTAGAAATTTACACTGCCATTTTGCTAAGGGGAAAGGGCCGAGGAGGTCCATACCCCAAATAGTAAAAGGCCAAGGAGAGCTAATAGGGCGGAGGGTGTCGGCATGTTGATGTAAGTGTGGACCGTGTTGTTGACAGGGGATACATTTCTTTACAAACATATGGCAATCTTGGGAGAGTGTTGGCCAATAGTACCCAGCTCTGAGTATTTTTGCCGCCATGGTTCGTCCACCCGAATGGGTACCACAGATACCTTCGTGAATCTCCCTCATGACATAGTTTGCTTGGTCGTCGTTAAGGCATTTAAGCATAGGTGTTGAAATCCCTTTTCTGTACAAGCCTTTGCCGAGAAGGAGGTATTTAGCTGCATGCATTCTTATTTTCTTGGCTGAGTCTGGATTATTTGGCAGGCTGTTGTCGGTAAGGTATTGGATAATGAGGGTCATCCAATTGTGAGGCATATTTTCTATATCCATGCACTCTTTCTTAGCTATGCTCAGTTTAAGGATTTCCTGGTGAATTACGCTTTGTAATTGCCCAGGTTTTCTTTGGCTGGCCAACTTAGCAAGCTTATCAGCTTGTTCATTCATTGTTCTCGGGGTCTATCGAACACATACCTCGTCAAACTCAGCTTCTATATTTTTAAATTCTTGGTAATATTAGAGCATGACCGAATCCTTCACCTGATATGTTCCATTGACCTGTTCGGTCACTATCTTTGAATCACTCCAACAAGTGACACGTTTTACTCCAATATCCCTTGCCAATTTGAGGCCGGCTAGAAGGGCTTCATATTCAGCTTGATTATTAGAGGCTTTGAATCCAAATCGAATGGATTGTTCAATTGTTACGGTGTTCGGGCCTTCAAGTATAATTCCTGCTCCACTACCAGATTGGTTTGATAATCCATCAACATGCAGGTTCCACATATCCCAACTGGCTTGTGGCTGAGTCGTGAATTCATTGACAAAGTCGACAAGTACTTGAGCTTTAAGGAGGCGTCGGCTTTCAAAGTGTATATCAAATTGAGATAATTCTATTGCCCACGCTGCTAACCGACCAGCTAATTCAGGTTTTCTTAAAATTTTAGACATTGGACAATCTGTCCGTACCACCATCCGATGACTCTAAAAGTAGTGTCTTAACCGACGAGCTGTGTGGACTAGGGCAAGCACCACTTTCTCCATTAATTGATACCGGGATTCGGGACCTTGGAGCGTTTTGCTGATGAAATAAACTGGGGCCGGTTCAGGTATTTCTTGTAACAGGACAAAATTGATGGCGTTATCCGACACTGCCAGGTAGATAATCATCTCCTTCTCAGGGTGCGGTTTTGTTAATACGGGTGGTGCTGCGAGCATATTTTTATATTGGGTGAAGGCGGCCTCACACTCGTCATTCCAAGCAAATTTTTGAAATATTTTAAGCAAGTTAATGAAAGGTCGAGATCTCTCTGCCATTATGGGAAGAAACCTGGAAAGGACAGCGATCCTGCCGGCTAGTCGTTGAACTTCCTTGACATTCCGAGGACTAGCCATCTCGATGATAGCTTGACATTAATCAGGGTTTGCCTCGATCCCCCTTTCGGATAGCATGAAACCCAAGAATTTACCGCCGGCTACACCAAATGTACATTTTTTAGGATTGAACTGTATCTCATGCCGTCGAGCCTGACCAAATACTTCTTTTAAGTGCATAAGGTGGTGCTCTAATTTGACAGATTTGATTACCATGTCATCAACATATACTTCCATGCATTTTCCTATTTGTCCTTCAAAAATTTTATTCATCAGCCTCTGGTAGGTTGCCCCAGCATTCTTCAAACCGAAAGGCATTACTCGGTAACAAAAATTAGCGGAATCAGTTATGAATGCAGCTTTTTCCTCATCCGGTGGATACATTCGGATTTGATTATACCCAGAGTAGGCATCTAAGAAACTGAACATTCTGTGTCCTGCTGCGCCGTCTACTAGGGCATCAATGCTAGGGAATGGGTAAGCATATTTTGGGTATGCTTTGTTTAAATCTGTGTAGTCGGTACACATTTGTCATTTGTCATTTGCTTTTTTGACCATGACTATATTGGCCAACCAGGTAGAGTACCTAACCTCTCGGATAAAACCGGCCTATATCAATTTAGTAGTTTCTTCTTTTACTGCTTTTGCTCTGTCGCCTCCCACTTTCCTTTTCTTTTGGGCTATTGGTCTCGCTGCTATATAAACCGAGAGGTGATGACAAAGAAATGCTGGATCGATGCCAGGCATGTCTGAAGTCGACCAGGCAAATAGATCAGCATTTCGTATCAATGTCTTCTGGAGCTCCTATTTTTCTTGGCCAGATAGGCCGACTCCCAAGTAAGTAACTTGTTCAGGCTTCGGTCTCAGCTGAAAAGGTTGCTTATTTTCATTAGGCTCAACCCGACACCCTTCATCAGTCCTAGGATCAAGTTCAATATCTACGTCCTCCTCAGACCTAGGGGTCACAATGTTGACATCTCGCTTATATTCTTGGAGTGGTCTGATGCGTAAGCTTGCAAAATAGCACTCCCTTGCTATCTTCTTATCAACATGAACTGTGACTATTAGGCCCATTTCTGATGGAAATTTCATAGCCAAATATGGAGTAGATACTATAGTTTTAAGTTTGTTAAGGGACGGTCTGCCGAGTAATATGTTGTACGAGGTGTTCGTGTGAACTACCAAGTACGTGACCTTGATGCGTTTTCCTTCATAGTCTGATTCAAATGAGGTGTAAAGGTCAATACACCCACGAGTCTCCACCCGTTCCCCTGAAAAACCAACTAGGGGTTCACAATATTCTTTGAGTTCCTCTTCTGGTATTCCTAATTGCTTGAAAGTATTCCAGTAAAGGATGTTAGCTGAACTCCCATGATCTATGAGTGTTTTCCGGACAGTGCAGTTGAGAATGTCTACACTTATCACCATGGGGTCATCTTGTATAGGATCCACTCCTTGAAAGTCTTCATCAGTAAATGTAATAGGGAGAATCTGAATCCTACTACCGAGTGTGATATTGTTGACTGATCTTACTTGCCTCAAATGTCTTTTTCTGGCTGAATGGGTAGGTCCGCCACCGGCAAACCCTCCAGCTATGGTATTAATGACCTTTTTAGGATACTTCTCACGTTCATCGTATCATCTAGTTGGAGGTTCTCTGGACGTACTCCTCTGTCGTTCAAGTCTCTTGTCATCGTATCTCCTTGATGACTCAGGGTAACAGTCTCTTCCTCTATTGGATTGACCGACAGGATTTGTCTGCACAAAATCTTTTAAATGTCTGTCCTTTATTAATTCCTCTATTTTATCTTTTAGCACTATGCACTCTTCGGTGGTATGACCCCTGTTCTGATGGTATCAGCAAGCCTTGCTTTTATCTGCCCAAGGAGGAGTGTTGGCACGTCTAGGCATTCTCAGTATTTCTGTGGCCAATGCTTGATCTAGTACTCTAGACCGATTAGTGTTGAGTGTAGTGTAGGAAGGATATTTGGGTCCCTTGGGCAGCTTTTTAGGTTCATTTCTTCTCTCCTTATTTTCTTGCCTAGACTTGAAAGTTTCTCTCATGTCTGTATTTTTTGAATTGGACCCCTGGTCCATTCGTATCTGGTTTCGGTTCTCATACAATTCCTCCATCTGCATATACTTGACAGCCCTGCTTCTCAACTCGTCTAGGTCAACAAGTGGTTTTTTGCAGATGCTGTTAACAAAAGGTCCTGGCTTAAGAGCCGTTGTGAGGTGGTGCATGGCCACTGCTGGTTCTAAGTTATGGATCGAGAGGCTCACTTTGCCGAAACGCTCCATGAATGCCCTTAAGGGATTCTCCCTTTTCTTGCCGAATATTGACCAGCGCAAGGGATGTTAATGGATGAGGTCGGCTTGTGGCGAATTGCAAGTTAAACCGTCTTGTGAGTGTTGTAAAAGAGTCGATGGATGAAGGGGGAGTCGTCTGAACCAACTGAGGGCTGGTCCTCGGAGTGAAGTAGAAAAAATTCTACACCATAGAGAATCGTTCTCGGTATACAAACCGACTTGGGTTGTAAATACGTCTAAGTGTTCACCGGGATCAGATGTACCATCATATTTTTCTATTGTTAAGCCTCTTCAGTTGTCAGGTAGCTTAGCCTCCAGGATGTGGTGAACGAATGGGCTGCAACTCACTGGATTGTCTCGGTCATTTTTGGCTTCAGATTGAAAAATCTGTTTTGATTTCTCCTGCAACGCCGAGGATTCCCCTTCATCTTAGACAATGGGTGTGGTCTGGGAAGGGATGTGCGTTCGTATTTCTTCTCTCAAGTTAGCATTTTCCCTTCTCAGAAACGAGAGCTCTAGTGCATTCTCCCTCTTCATCTCTGTCATCTCTGCTTTGAGCTGTCTTAGTACAGCTAAGAGACTCTCGTCGGTTCCTCTTTGCATCACTACTTCAGGTGTTGGTTCATCTGGCGTGACACCGTCCAGCTGTTGACGAGAGGTTCCTTCCTGTTGAACATGTCCTTCCTGCTGGCTTCTCGTTAGTACCATGATTAATATGAAAAACGAGGCTAATCGTGCCCCACGGTGGGCGCTAAAATGTTCCTGCTTGAGAAACACTAATCTTCTAGTCTCTGATATGCGGTGATGACGTCTCTCTGATTGTTACTGATGTGGGGATAGTACCTGCAAAAGGCACTCCGATGCAGAAGTCAGAATTCGGTTCTGAACAATAAATGTTATTTTAGTAATGAAAAGTCAACCATTTACCTGTACTTTTACCTTCCTTATATAGGCATTGTAATGGGCTAATAGGCCTGTCAAGCTAGTTTTGATTTTTAGCCCTTTATTTAAAATAAATAATATCTTGATTATTACCCTAAATTAGGTTTAATTACCTCTTAATCCTGACGAAAGGTATCTGGCCAAATTAGGCCGAATAGGTACTCGGTTTCCTTTTCCTAGAAGTAGGACCGAGTTGGTCCCTATCCAGCACACATACAATTGGATATTTGGACAAGCATGCATATATAACTTCAATAGTATAATCCTCAACTTTTACAATCCTAGTTTTTCTTAAGTATGGTAACGATAATGATATTAGAAGTTTTGTTTGTTAAACAAAAAAGAATACCTCCAAAGCTAGGTCATCCTTAAAGTTCCTTTCCCCATAACCTCTGCCGAAGAAGCTCTAAGCGAATTCGATCAAAATCATTTGTCAAATTCTCATTAAAAACAAATTCAACTTTTTGATACACCACGTTCACTTCAGTATCATTGCCGTGGTACGCAGCGAGCAACGCAGCGAGCAATGCAGCGAAAAAGAAAATATTATGCATTATTCAGCATTATTATTGTAATTTTAATTCTTGTCAAAATTGAAATTAATTTAGGAACATAATTCTTGTGTTTTGGTTGCATATAAAATTAAAGTGTAAAGTTAACAATTTTAAAATAAATTTTAATTTCATTTTGATATTTTAATTATAGATAATTATGGAATAAAATTCTATGAATTTGAATTTTAAAAAATAAGCAGCACATGATAATAACAATAACGACAAATGAAATGATAAAAGTAAACATTATAGTGATTAAGGTTATAACCATTATGATGACAATATAATGAAATATTGTAGTGACAAAAGTAATAACACCGATGTGAAAGTGATATAAGAAAAAAATAGACGATAATAATAAAAGTAGAAGGAGTAAAATTAGTAAAATTAATAAGGTAGTGATAATGAAATTATCTAATGATAATAATATTAATTATTGATGATAGAGAAAATGAATGTAGTAATAATTATCATTATAAGTTTCTTTAATTTATTTTAAAATTATATTAAATTAAATCTTAATAATTTCAATTCTAAAACCACTTTCAAATGTCATCATTATAATTATACGATTCAATTTTAAATCTCAATTTCATAATCTGTAGCAAACAAAATTTAATGTTATAGTATATTAAATATATTATGACCATATATATATATATATATATATATATATATATATATATAATCTTAATCCAAAAAAAGAATTATGATAACACAAACAATTTATTAAATAGAAGCCAAAATAACCATTAAAGTAATAACACAATAAAAAATATTAAGAAAAAACAAAAATGTAATTAAGGATACAAATGAATTAGTTAAATGTATGTTATTATAAATTTATAATTAATTATTTTCTTTTTTAAGAATTAAAATAGATAAACCGTGTCAAAATTTGAATGACAGTTGTATAATAAAATAGAGAGATGACTAATTGTAATAGTATAAAAAGCCTAATTTCAATTTTTAAGCACCCATCATCATACTACATTATTTTTATTAGCTTATTATAATATCATGAAAGATAAGAAGACACATAAAGAACCTTATTTGTTATACTTAGTAAAAGGAACCAAAATGATTGAGAGTGAAAATAAAATGAAATTAAAACAATGAAACAAGATTAATAATATAATCAAAAGAGTAAAGAGATAAAAATAACCTTACTCGATGCACTCTTGGTTGGAGTTTTTACTTTAACTTTTTAACCTTAATTTGCTATCTTTTTCTTGCTTTTGTTGAAATTTCTAATATTTAAATTGCATTATTTTTTCTTTTTCACTCTCTAATGGTATTCTTAAAGAATATGTACTCCAAGAATGTTGAATTTTTCTTAGTGCTTGTTTGGTGTACAAAATTGAGTATGAAATTAAACATTAGAATTAAAATTGAAAATGAGTTTCAAAATTTTAATTATTATGTTTGAATATTTATTTGAAATTGAAATTATAATCCTATGAGCTAATTCTATGGAATTATGTGACAACTAAGTTTGATCCATTTTAATTCTTAACTTACATCCTACGAATTTAAATTCCTAATATCATAATTTATAAACACGCTTTCACGTTTTTTGCCTTCGTGTCTCTGTAGTTTTTTTTTTTTTATCTTCATGGTTCTTAATTTTTTTCTAAGTATTTTCTTCCTCTTCTTCTTCTTTTATTCTCTTTTCCCGATGCATCTTTTTTCGTCTTTCTGTATTTTTCTTTTTTTTATGCTCTTCTCCTCTTAACTTCACTTTTATATTGATTAGTAATACTACTTCTTTTTCTCTGTTTTCTTGTTTTTCTCTATTCTCTTCTTATTCATTTTACATTAATTATTAATAAAAGTGATTTTTCTTAATTCCTCTTCTTTTTGTTCTTCTTATTCCTCTTGTTCTACCTATTCTTCTTTTATGTTTTCTTTTTCTTTCTTTCTTTTTTTACATTTGTTTCATGTTTAATATATTTATGTTACTGTATCATATTTCTATTCTGCATTTACTGTAAACTATATTATATTATTATTCTGCACTTTCTACACTCGCCGCAAACTATATTGTATTATTTTTCTACATTTGACGTAAAATATATTGTTTATGTGAATTGTATAATAAATTGTTTGATTTGTTTTCTTAAATTGTTAAATGTTGGAGGAAATATTAGAAATTAATTCAAGAACTATTGAAAATATAAGATAAACAAAAAAGAAAAAATTAGTGCTAGATACAATAATTATTACATTAACCACAATAACTGTATGATATAAACAAAAAAATATATCTAGAGAGCCAATAGAGGAGAATAATAAAAATTAAAAAAAAAGTATACTTTTAAGACGATTATATTATGGGATTGATAAAAATTATTATAATTAATTACGTCTTACTAATTAAGCTTGTTTTGAGCTTTGTAACATTTTATGTGAAAGAGGAGACTACATAATGCTTATAATGTAAGCGCAGAAGAATCCATTATATTTTTAAAAAAATTGAATTATTTTTTAAAAATTTAGATCTTACATCCACACTATAGAATTTAATTACAACTTAAAAATTCTACATTTTAATTCTTTGAACACATGTAGAATTATAATTTTGAAGCAATTCAATTTATTAGAGTTTTTTATGCTCTCAAAAATCTTCTCTTTTTTTTTCTTTGTTATCCATGCTCTCCTGATTCTCTCATCTATAAGAATAAACTTCTTGTAACTTACACTATATAAACTTTAGATCCTATTTAATATACATTTTTTTTAATTTTAATAAAAATTTTCAACTTTCGATCATTTTTTTTATGATCACAAATCAATTTTTTCTACGCTATCTCATATATTTTATTAAAGATCTACAACTAATTTGACCATTTTATTTTTATTTTTATTTTTATAGTTTTTATCCACTAATTCACTACCTATTTTAAATTTAAAAATTAAAAATTTGAATTTAAATTAATTTTTATCCATTATCTTAACCTCCTACAAAGTTTAAGTATTGCTTCTTTTATTTATAAATGTATAATTTTTTTAAAAAAGAACTTAGATAAAATTAATTATTCACAACTATCACAAATGATATTTTTAATTTATAATAAAAAATTTAGATAATATAAATAAAATAAATTATTGTAAAATTTTTTCATCTAAAATATCAAAAATATTTTTTTATAATTTATTAATATAGTAATTAATTATAATTTATTATTGAAATACATTTTGCCAAGTAATTTAAACATAAATCAGGTAAATTTATTTACTATTTTAACATGTTATTTATTACAACTTTAATCTTAAAATGAATTCTTTCAAAACAAAGGGTGCACTTGAAAAGATCGAGCACACTTACAATTAATATTTAAATTAAATTTTAAAAAATACACCAAGATTATATTTTTAAATTAAAAAAAAAAGTTAATTATACGTCAATTCGGACCATAAGAGAAATTCCTCACGATAAGGGATATTATTGGGTTCAAAGCAAAAGGTACCATCATCGGCCATGACCATGGCTTTGTTGTTACATAAAATTTGGTCACTGCAACAACACCAACAACAGTTGTTTATTGTGCTTGTGTTAGCACTTAAGTTTGTTTCTGGCGTCACTGGTTGCTACACCTCAATCTTTAGCTTCGGGGATTCCCTCACTGATACCGGCAACTTGTATTTCATTTCCCCACCACAAAGCCCTGATTGCTTGATCCCTCCCTATGGACAAACCCATTTTCAACACCCCAATGGAAGATGCTCTGATGGACGCCTTATCCTTGATTTCATTGGTATTCAACTATTTCCCCTCACCCTCTTGCTTTTTCAATCAATTTATCGGATAAATATTCATTTTTTGATAATTGTTACCTTTTTGCCTTGTGGGTTTTGAAGCTGAGTCTCTGGGGCTTCCCTATGTGAAACCGTATCTTGGTTTCAAGAATGGCGCGGTCAAACGCGGGAATATTGAGCAGGGATTGAATTTTGCGGTTGCGGGAGCCACTGCGTTGGACCGCCGTTTCTTTGAAGAGAAGGGGTTCACTGTTGAAGTGACTACGAACTTTTCTCTGAGGGTTCAGTTTGATTGGTTCAAGGAATTGCTGCCTTCTCTCTGCAATTCTTCTAGTGAAGTTACCTTTTTCTTTCCTTCTCACATTTTGTCCCTTTTATTACAAATCTGCAATCCTTGTATATATGATATTTCATGGATCCAACCGAACCAAGTAAGTATGAAGTTTGAATCTTGTCAGGGACAGAGATGATATGAAAAAGTTCGATTTAATTATTCAATATGCCACCGGTTCTTTGGATTTTAATGTTGATATGATTTACTGTAGTTAAGATTTTCATTTAGTTAACTCTTTTTAAGTAACTATTTTGTTGATTTTAACTATATCAAAATAATAATTTTTATCACAATACTTTAAAACTATTATATTTTTATATTTTTTATGTAATAAATGCTTATTTTTCTTAATAAAAGTTTATGACTTTCCATATTAAAATTGAAAACGTTAACAGCTTCTTTGAATATTTATTAGAAATAAATTCCTCTTATTAATCAAATGGCGTCATCTATAAATAGTGAATGTATAAGGATTAAGGAGGAAGAGGAAGAAGTTAAATAAGGATTCATTCTCCGGCTTTTCCTTTGAGTGTTGTAAGAATGGGGGTAAATTCCTAGCTATTTCAAATTGCATATTGGATTTCATTCTTGCAGGCTGCAAAGAAGTTCTTCGCAGCTCCTTATTTATTGTGGGAGAGATTGGAGGCAATGATTATGGTTTTCCCTTGTCTAAAACAACCACATTTGAAGATCTTGTGATTTACGTACCCCAAGTAATATCTATAATCACTTCAACAATCAGGGTAAGAATGATGTGTTGGCATGAAACTATGAATTATTATTATGTTCTGAATATTTAGCAAAACTTTCAGCAATTTAGCTTTTATTTATTTCTTGGGAGAAGTGTTCTCATAAAAAAGACTACTGCTTCTAGGAATGCCCATCAACTATTACTGCTCTGTGAAAGTATTCTTTAGAAAATTTCATTATGTCTCATTATTCCAATGGTGAGACTGTTAGTAGAGTCTTTTGAGAAACCAAGGATTTGTGACTTCTCTCTTCTCAGTTATAAGTCAATGGCTTGGCAAATCATTGGTTGGTATATTATTGGACGCAGGAGTTGATTGATTTAGGGGCTGTAACGTTTATGGTTCCTGGAAGTTTACCACTTGGATGCAATTCAGCCTATTTAACAAGCTTTGCAACTATAGATGAAGAGGAGTATGACCAAGCTGGCTGTTTGAAATGGTTAAACATGTTTTTTGAATACCACAATGAAATGCTTCAAATTGAACTGAACCGGCTTCAAGTGCTATATCCTTTTACCAATATCATCTACGCAGATTATTTCAACGCTGCATTGCAGCTTTACGATTCTCCACAACAATTCGGTAGTCCCATCCTCTAAGCTCTTTTTGTCATATCAACATATCCTTGTGCCATTAATCAATATTACTACTCAGAATTAACATGAATCAATACATAAAAAATGGAACTAAATTTCATGTTGAGTTTACGTTTAGCATATCTGTGCATTTGGTTAGTCATGTAGAGAACTTCTATGTCATGATCTTTCACAGTATGTCCACAGAACATGCCATCTTGTTTTGGAAGAGTGATATTAGGATTTGCTTCAATGTTATTACAGGGTTTGGTGGAAATGTTCTCAAAGTTTGTTGTGGAGGTGGAGGTCCTTACAATTACAATGATACTGCACTATGCGGCAATCCGAGGGTCATTGCTTGTGATGATCCTTCACAATATGTTAGCTGGGATGGTTATCATTTAACCGAGGCTGCATATAAGTGGATTACCAGGGGATTATTAAATGGACCATACACCATTCCTAAATTTAATGTCTCGTGTTTTACAAGTGAGGCAACTAGATATTTAAATTACTATGCCATGAAATAAAATCAATGTTATTTTCTTTTTCAGTGTATAATATCTTCTTTTTTTTTGGTGCGGTTAGAGTACAATATTACTACTAATAAGGGTGTATGAAAATGTGAATCACTTGATCGAAGAGGTTCACTCGCTAGTCCTACTTTTGATAAATTCTAAATGAAACCATCAATTTGATGTAAATGTTATAAAAAAGGTAAGGAGTTGAATCACATATATAATGAGTAAATATAGTAGAATGTTATGAGTTTGTCAATAGACAAATTATCAACAGCCCTATTATTTCAGTCCTGCATGTGGATCTCTTCTTTTTAGGGAAATTATTTGTATGGGTATAGAAAACCTCCTTTTTACTATATGTTATATGCATGAGTGATTTTTTTATCCAACTTTAGATTTTATAATTGATTTACTACTAGAGTTTCTATGACATCCATCAGAGGAATCTTCCAATTGGAACTTCCTTACTATGTAGATTTGAAACAAATGAGTTTGATGGTAGTTTGTCTTTATTACTTGAACAATTTTGTTTCAAGTTATGAACACTGAAAGCATCTTAACTACAAGATTTCTTTTCCAAACTTTTTTGAACATTTGCCTTTAAAGAATGGTAGGTTTTAATGTCACATTGTTCTTTTTTGTTCATCAAACTTTTCCACTTAAACTCAAGCATTTCTTTTCCCTTTTTTGAACAATAATTTTTGCTTCGCATCAGTTTCTTTTTTCGAAGACCTTTTTATACTCCCACAAAGATGCAGGTACTAAACCAAACACTAAATTTTAATTGATGTGCCAACATTTTATTAGAGGAACAAAGAAGGAGATAGGAGTAGTATACAAAAGATTTTAATCTATTAATTTTAGGCACAAAAGCTTAAAATTAACATTTTGTCGAGTCAAAATATTAGTTATTTAAGAATATTTATTTTACTGTAGGTTATTTTTTAGAACATTACAAATACTTATTATATTTTAAATTTTTATTTGTTTCTAAATTTTCATCGGATGAAATCATGAAATAAAAATACAAAAGAGTAAGATGAGAATGTAATTTAATCAAATGTAATTATGTTTTGCTAAAATTATGGATATTTAATGCTTTTTTAATCCTAAATTCTTAAATCACTACATTTTACAATGGATATATTAATAACAAAAACCTCTCCAACAAAATTAATTGTGCCATGGATGATGGAAGCATGTTAAGCAGACAAATACAATTACATGAAATGGTTTGAATATGTTTTCCTTGGTTTTATTTTCTGATGAAAATAAAATATACTATTTTTTTCATTTTGTTGTCACATTTTGTTTTATTAAAAAAAAAAACCAAACATGTAATTAAACTCGTGATAAGAATTCTTACAATGTCTATCAAATATAAATTTATATTTGTCACATGATAAATAATTGAAAATAATTTATTTATTAAAATATTATAAATCTACTTTTTATATATTTATATTTTATTTTCTTATCAACACTCTTTAAAATATTAATAAATACTACCTTTTGCTCTTTTTTTCCTGAAAAAATAATACCTTTAATCATACATAAAAGTAGTTATTGAGTAATCTAAAAATATGTAATTTTAATAATTTATATCGCGTCATATATTTTTTTTGCAAATTATAAAACTTGTTAACATAATATACTATTATTGGTTGAGAAAGCGTGATTCTGTAAAATACAAAAATTGTTCTTAAACATAGACTTTAGCCTGGAATTTAATGTCTTAAAGTGTTAGTACTCCTGATTGGGTGGGTAATTAAGTTTACAGGTGCTCAATTAATTATTAATGGAGTTTGGTTTGTGGGCCAACTTTGTCCTTTTCCTCTTTCATGTAGTCTATATATATATAATCATTGATATTTTGAATAAGAGATAAATTTATTTAAGTAAAAATTATTTATAATATAATAAAATTATTTTTTTAACAATTTTTTGTATGCAAAATTTAAATATAAGATTTAATTCTTTAAAAAAATTAAAAGGTTGAGGTCTGTGGAGTAAATATGTGAGTTGTGCCTTTACCGTTCTCTCCATCAGTCGTTATCGTCATGCTTGTTAGGATTAGAGTATTATCTCATTCTTATTACTTTTTTTCATACAAAGATGATCCGTTTAGTATATATTTCATAACAATTAATTTGTAATTAATCCCTTTTAAAAAATGATATATATTCTAATGTGTCCCTAAAATGACATAATTTAATTAAAAAAAAAAATTCACGCAAAGCCATCGTAGAAACAACGAGTAAACATTGTGAAGGAAAATAATTCGAAGGGACACCTGAAGTAGATAGGTAGACGTTGAATTCATAATTTCACGACAAAATTTTCAGCCAAACAGTTATTTACTGCTCACAAGATTTTGCGATCTACTTTTTAAATATAAATTTTGTTAATTTCGGTCTTTAATTTTAAAAGTTAAAAATAAATAATTAATAATAAAAGTTTATTAAAAATAAATATTTATTATATTTTTATATTTTCAATACAATAATTATGTATTTTTTTATAAAAAAATTTTATCTGTAAAAATTAATATTAACAAAATTCTTTAAATATTAATTATTTATTTGCTTGTGGTGAGATTTTAAGTGCAATTTTTGCCAATTTCCTCTTTTCTGGGGTGTTCAAATCTTATAAGAAACAATTATTAATTTTATACCTTTTTTTTACTTGGTACGGAAATACTTTTATTGTTTATTTTTAAAAAAGAAACTCTAGAATGGAATAAAAAATGAGTTTAAATGTAAGTATTGAATTTTATTTGAAATTAATATTTATGAAATCGTTATGAAATCGATATAGTTGCATCTTCTTGCTTAATATTTATGAAATCGTTACCTACTCATCCTTGATTTCGAAATATTTAGTTATTTGAATATACCAATCTATCTAAAAATTACATTCGTTAAAAATTTAAACATTAATTAAATATTTGATGAGCACGAGAAAATACAAATATAAATCAGAAATCCTATCATATATATAGTTTTGTTTATATTAGTCTATTTTCTGTTGGTTAGATTTTTGCAACTTGACAATGCAGCCCAACTAACAACATTAATCCACCGTTTTAGTGAATTGTGAGCGATTTTTACACTATGTCCTCTAGTCCTGACTCAATTAATGTTTTGTGCTCGTGTTCAAGTTTAGACATTTATGACCTTTTAAGTAGTATTCAAAAAATAAATAACATAAGTGTTGCAATACACTACAATATAGGGTGCAAGTTGAGAAGATAATATATTACATAAACAAAATTTAGGTGTAAGGAAATAAGTGTGGTTTATAAATAAAATTTAAAAACTTATTTTAATAATATGCATAACATCATATATAAATATTTATTATAATAAAATTTTAATTTTAATTAGTAATCAAAACTAACAACACATATAAAATATCACTTGAGTTTTCTTCTAATCTAAATATCTAATAGCCGGAAAAGGAAGAGACCCTCAATAAAGGAAAATCAATATTTTGGACCTTGACAAAACACTGCTATCACTGTAAAAACTAAGGCTAGAGCTGCAAGTATGCCCTAGGATATATATTGATTAAATTTGGTTAACATTAAAATTCAGTATAAACGTAAAAATTATAATTTTTCACCTCTATTCAAACTTAACTTCAAAGTTAAAATTAATTTTGATTCAGCTTTAACAAATATAGTGACATAATAATTAAAGCGCATTTACGTATGTAATTTTGGAGATTTGAACATATTTCCAGACAATGCACTTATTCTACTCAGCTAAAACAAAGAACAAAGTATAACCAAAATCTCTTTGTATGCTTAATTCTCCCCACTCGTTCGTAGTGTTTTGGTCCTCTATGGTCCACCTTTGAAATTAGAATCCAATGACCTATCTTTATAAAAGTTGCAGTTAACTACACACATCTTACAACTCATGACTTTTGTTTCTTGAATCAACTAATTCACCGAGTATCACACATGAAACTTTTAAGATGAGAAAAAAGCGTGTCTAAGGGGCGTGCCCATATTTAAGGCTCAACTGCAAGAGTGGCTTATATAACCTCTCATAATTATATGCATTCTACTTATATATACAGTGTTCTTGTTCAACCATCTTGTGATCTTCATCTTTAAAGAAACACTATGAAAATAATCTATATCCTGTTAATTATTTCCTTTACATTTGATTTCCTTGAGAAAGTTGTTTCAAATCCTAATCCTCATACATACGAAGCAATTTTCAACTTTGGTGACTCTTTAAGTGACACTGGCAATTTCCTTGCTTCTGGTGCCATTTCATTCCCAGTCATTGGAAAGCTTCCATATGGTGAAACCTTCTTTAGACATGCAACCGGTCGTTGCTCAGATGGACGACTAGTGATTGATTTTATAGGTATGTGGTAGATGTGATATGAATATATATAGCCACTATCTCTTGCATCTAAAAGGGTCAGAAGAAAATTAAGTAAAAATACATATACAAGCTCATTAGTACTCACTTGTTATGAATTTTGGACGTAGCTGAGGCATATGGGTTGCCATATTTACCACCTTATCTGGCACCAACCAAAGGCCAAAACATTCATAGTGGAGTAAATTTTGCCGTGGCTGGAGCCACAGCACTTGATGCAAAATTCTTCAGCAGAGAAGGACTTGAAAAATTTCTATGGACAAATGATTCATTGAGTATTCAGCTTGGCTGGTTCAAGAAACTGAAACCCTCCCTTTGCACCACTAAACAAGGTATACAACATTGACCGCTACTGTAAACTCTTGTATATGTCTCGTATGAAGTTTCCAATAATAAAACTTGAATTTAATTTTTGTTAATTATATGTCACAGATTGTAATAATTATTTCAAAAAGTCTCTCTTTCTTGTGGGGGAGATAGGTGGTAATGATTATAACTATGCTGCCTTTGCTGGAAATATTAGTGAACTTCGAGCCAGTGTTCCTCCAGTTATTGAAACAATAACAATGACTATCAGTGTATGTTACATCAAACTGAGTGCATTAATATCACCAGCATTAAGTTTTCAGAAATTCGTTCTATTTTTGCCTTCCTATTTTTCTTGCTAGGAATTGATAGCTGAAGGAGCAGTGGAGCTGTTGGTGCCAGGGAATTTGCCAATTGGATGCTCTGCCCTGTACCTAACTTTATTTAGAAGCATGAATAAGGAGGATTATGATCAAAGTGGATGTTTGAAAGCTTTCAACGCTTTTGCAGAATACCATAACAAGCAGCTCAATCTTGCCTTAGAGACACTAAGACAAAAGAATCCTCATTCAAGGATAATGTATGCTGACTATTATGGTGCTGCCAAACGCTTCTACCATGCACCAGGACACCATGGTTGGTTTGTTGTCCAAGTTTCTTTTTTGTTTTTCTTCTTAATATAAATAACATATCTAAGAATTCAGTTTTTGACCGAATCTAATAGCATCTCAGTTAGTGGGATAAGACTTTTGTTGATGTTCTATATCCTTCAGTAGGGAAGCCTATTTGAACTTGTTTGAATGGGTGAGATTTATCAATTAAACTAACCACAACTATTGGTTAATTTTGTACTTCAATTTGTATTGAGTGTTTGATTTTATACTTAATTATTACTATTGGGTAGGAGCACTTTATTTTGTAATTATTTTACTTACCTAAAATTTGTATGGCTTGATTGCGCAGGGTTTACTAGTGGGACATTAAGAGCATGCTGTGGTGGAGGTGGACCTTTCAATTTCAACATCTCAGCAAGGTGTGGTCACAATGGTTCAAAGGCATGCGCAAATCCGTCTGCACATGCAAACTGGGATGGAATTCACTTGACAGAAGCAGCTTATAGACTCATTGCCGAAGCTCTAATTAGCGGTCCTTTCTCAAAACCCCTTCTCAAACCGTCTCTCCATAAGATAGCCTAAAGACTTGATGCAATCCTCTCCTAATAATATAATGTTTAGCACTTTATTGAACATACTAGTTGTTGGTGTGAGGTGAATTATGAGAAAAAGCTCTGCATCTCTTTAGACTCAACATCTATACATGAACATTGTCTGGATTCTAACATAGAGCTTTCTACATCAAACTTGAGTTACAAACACACACGTACTCCATTATTAAATGTCATACTTTTATGTAGGACCTTCACTTTCAATGGTGTTGACTGCCAAGTGTAGCATACTAGTTTCAAATGCAGTGGGTCTGATGCAATATTTGGATCGGTGGATTGTTTGTTTACGAGGGATTTAAGAGAGAAATGTATGAAGTTGATGATTTACATGAGGGTGGATAATAAATAGGGAAGGAAATAGGTTAAATCAATTTTTACAACGCTTGAGTATAACTTATTTTTTAAATTTAAGATTTGAACTTAATTTATTTATTTGGAAAGTGTTTTTAAGTTTGAATTATCTTTTTTAAAAGTCTACTTCAAAGTTTATTAAAAACCTTCCTTAACAATAATGCAAGATAAATAGATTATAAAATTGCTTTAAAATAAGTTAGTGGATCTAAATTAATAAACATACAATCTCCCAATATTCTAGTTTAAATTGAATACAATAATTATATTATTATTATTATTTAAATAGGTTGTTTATTAGATTTAGAAGAATTTTAAATAATAATTTTAATTAAATATACAATTAAATAAGTCATAATTTGCTTTATATAGTTAATTAAATAGGCTTAGTTTGACTTAATCTTAATATAAGTTAGGTTATAGACCCATGACAAATAGTCTGACTTCTGGAGAGAGAATTTTTTGAGTGTAGGATTCACTAAAATTATTTCTCTTTGCACAGAGAGATTGATGAATGAAAAGGGCAAAACAAAAAAAGGGGGTGTGATTTTCAATATTGCCTTCTTTAATTTGATACTCATGGTTCGAAACATTTATTATAAGGATAAAAGATGTTTGTAAAGTATTTGTCTCTTTTTTTACGAACTCTTGCATTCATCAGAGTAAGTAGAGATTTTTTTTTTTCACATTTATATTTTTTCACTTCTTTATTTATTTTTATTTTATTTCCTTGACCATACTTGGTCTATCCACTTCGTCATTTTCCTTTTCTGTTTTTCTTTAATTAAAAAAGGCCATATCATTACAATTTTTTTACATAGTTTTATTATATTCAGCATAATAAAGACAAAAAAAATATGAAAAAAAGATTATTATAAAATTAAAACAAATATTTTTTAAAATTGGCTGATAAAAAGTTAAAATTAAAGTGGTCCAATTTGATCTGTTTTTACTATTATTTAAGTTATTTATATAAAAATTATTTTTCTCCAAAATTATGAAATTTTGTATTTGTCATTTAATTCGACTTTTTAAGTTTTTCAGAAATAATTAAATTGTATATATAAAAAAGCGTGTAAAGAAAATTGACTTTTCACATACACGAAAATTATAATAAAAGTGAAATAACTAATCTTTAATGTCAATAATCAAAGGCAGAGATCATTTGTCTCCACATTCGGCACATTTTCAAAGCGTTAGCTTTAAGATCCAATGGAAGACTAAAAATTATGACAAGATTTGTAAAAGGTTATGGACGGGACTTAAGGGCTCACAGAAGACCAGAAAATCAAAAGATAATATTCCTTTTTTGAAATTATCAACAAAGGGATACGTACATGAATTAGCACAAATTTGAATTGACAAATTAAATACTTTCAACTATTTCACTCTTCATACGATAATATATAATAAATTGAGAAGCATAGCTACGAGAAAGGCACTAGGAATCCCATATGGGACCAAAAGCCGCAATTCCAGCTGCTTTGCATGCATTCACAACATCTCTGCTCCCTTCTGGATTACTCGTCACAATCATCACTTGAGCACCCCAATTCTTGGCAGCGTTGACACTCAATTCAGACACGTTTGGCCTACCTAGCAAAGCAGTATCATGGATTATCACCTTCTCTTTTGGATACCCACTTACTATTTCTTTAATTTCCTTACCAAAGTTTTGCTCAATCCCCTTAGCCACCCAAAGCAAACACACATCCGCTTTACATGGCTGCAAAAGGAACGAAAGAAACACGCAAATTCCTGACCCAGTGGCCACTAACAACACCCTCTCATACATGTTCACCAAATAAGGTAGACCCGCGAAGTGCACTTGGCGAACCCACAAATGGGTTGGAGGGTTTGAGACCAAAGATTTTGTGAAGTCACCAACTGCACCTGCAAGCATCATGTGCTCCTTTTTCCCATCAGAGATTATGCCAAAGGCATGCCACTCAGAAAGTGGTGAGGGACTAATCCTTCCCAGTATCCCAGCCTTTATTCCTCCCTCAAACTTGATGATGGAAGCATGGCCTGAAGCAGTGGATACTTTGACAGCGACACGTCTCACTGTCAACCATGGCATGATTATGAGTATTGTGATGGTCACAGTGAGCCAAAACTCTTGGCTTTTTACCAAACTTGACCCAAGTTTGTTTGAGTAAGATTTGGTTTTAGGATCATAACTGATTGTGAGCATGATGAAGGCCCAAAGGAGACACAAAGCCATCCACCCAGCAAAACGATGGGTCCTCTCAAACACATTGTGATGAAGGTGGCGAACAAGTGGGAATGCAGCCAAAGAAGAGAGACAAAGAAGGCCAAGAATAGCAGAGGAGACACCGATGATCTCTGGTGAAGTGTTGTGTCTGTCTTTAAGAGTGAGGACTAATGCATACACAAGCCATGCAATTGAACTCACGCCACATCCACTGTGTATGCCTCCTATGCTTTGTAGAAAAGAAGTGGTAGCTGTTTTGAGGAAAAGAGGGACCCATGAGTTTCCAATGGTCTTCACTGCAAGCCAAAAGACAACACGCAAGAAGGCCTCACTTCGACAGAGTGTCAAAGCGAGTATGTTCCCAATGGAGAACAGAGCAGCTTTGTTTCTTCCATAGGGAAAATGCGCCGTAGCTGCTAGAACCAAACCAGTAACGTTCAGGGTCAAGCAAATAACGAAAAGCCTCTTATACACAGTGAACAAGCCTTGGTCTAGAAGTATAACTGAGAGTCTTGACTCGTTTTTTTTCACAGGCTTGGTGGGTTGGTGATGGGGTTTGCTAGCATTTTGCACAGAAAGTGAGGCAAGTGGGTTTTGTTTCTCCACGTCATAGTTTTCTTCTAGGATGCTTTGGAGAGCATCTTCTTCATCTTCGTGGAGATCAAGGTCACAGAAATGGCTACTGGCTTTGCTAGAGGATCTTTGTATTGAAGAAGGAAACACTCTAGAAGTGCCGAAAGGCCAAAATGGTTTACTGTTTGAGGGTGTTGGTGCGCTTATTACGGCAAAAGGGTCTGAGTGAGGTTTCACCTCAAAGGCCACACCTCTGCAGCTTGAAAATCTTACTGGGGTTTGCATGCTTCTAAGTTTACCCAAACCAATTTGGAATTAAGTTGTGGTTTCTGGTTTGTGTGGTCATGCAAACGATGTTCCTTTATATAGGCGTTAGTCACCATAAACCTGACGTTGAAATATCTTGGTCCATCAGTTTTTATTTTACGTTTGAATATGTCAATTAGCTCATTAAATGTTTAGATCCAAGAAAGTCTACCTAGATAGAATGAGCTGAATCTGAAAGATATTATTTCCATAATATATATATATATATAAAATCATTTAGAAAGGAATTAAAGAAACGAAGTTGAAGTAAATAACGCTTAGATTGCTGGTTTCTATCCAACTTGAAGGCTTGACGCGTTATAAGGAATGGTTATGTTTCAGACTGGCCTTTTTCCCCGTTCCAATTTCAAAGGATCTACTACGAAAGGAGTCTATTCTGCTCACACATAAAAACCTCTTCTCTGCATTTTCATTTATGACAATTGGGTATGGGTGTGCCGATGACGGCCTTTTGCTTCATCATCATTTTTCCTATTCATTAATTCGTTGTTAAATTTTTTACTAGGAAAAAGTCGGGATATTTAATTCATTTTTTTTATAATAAATCTTTGTTACTTACTGAATATGGTTGACAAATAAAAACCAAATTACTCAGCGTTAACTATTTCCAATTTCAGTGTGCTTTTTTTCCCTAGAAAATATTTTCCAGAATAAACCAAATTACTACGATATTTTTAATTTTATATATTATTCTCTCACTCATTAGCACTTATTATTTTAAAAAAAATTTAAATGTCCTCTTATTTTAATATATAAACTATGTACATTAATAATAAAATAAGAGATGTGTAAGGAAGATAGATATAGTCTTTTTTAACTTAGTAGAGTTAAGATATAAGGATGGTTAATCTCATTATTTTTTTCTTATGCCTTGAACAAAGTTGGGATGTTACGCTGTTATTATTCCACCGTTACAATTCCTGTTACTAGAGAGAGAGAAAACTATTCCTTTAAGAAAATCACATTTATTATGGTCACGGGAAAACTTTTGAAAAAGTTTTTATATAAAAAAAATAGTATAAAAAATAATAATTTTTTATGAACTAAAAATAATTTAAGCTTCTTTTTATATTTTTAGTTTTTTTATTTGATTTCTCTACAATTTAAAAATAATTTATTTTTAATTTATAAAAAAGATTTTTTATTTTTCTCTATAAAAATTTATCCAGACTATTCGTTAATCAATAATCATCTCCGTCCTTCCTTATATAAACCTGGGAGAAGACGGTGTTCACTCATTACATTAGTACGCAGCAGCTGTCATCATGGGTAGCCGATCATTTGTAATCGGGTTTGGCCTGGTCAGCTGACCATTCTACTTATCATCACTCCCTACGTACGTGAGTCCGAGCAATATCACGGGTAGTTTTAATATTCGTTAAAATATTTAATCTTTATGAATATAATTATCTTTTTAATTTTTTAAAATTTATTATTTTGTAATAATTCGACATACATTCCTACTACATCAATAATCAATCTATAATAACAAGAGATCTAATGTATTTAAATGCATGTCACATTATTTTTTTTTATAGGCAAAACAAATCTTATTAAAAAGAGTTCAAGGAGAACTCAAAACTCATATACACAAAAAATTACTTACTCAGAGAAATAAAAAGCAAAAATATACTTATGCAAAATTAAGACAGATGCAATTTCGTGGATTCAAATACCAATCAGCTAACATAATAGCTTCTCCCTTACTAACAAGTGATAACCATTTCCAGGATCTCAGAATAATAGAATCTAAGACTTCCCTCTCATCCAAAACACCATTGGAAAATATAATTCTATTTATATGAAACCACAAAAACCACACTGTACTTACCCAAATAATTAATAAGCATATTCCTTCTCTTTTACTACAGCCAACACCAACCCAAGAAAGCAAGTGAGTCGATAAATCTGAAGGTAAAACCAGTGAGAATCCAAGCCAACGCGCAGTAAAGTACCAGATTTGAGATGAAACTGAGCACGTTAAAAATAAATGAGTTGGAAGTTCCTCCAAACCATGACAGAAACAACAAGTTATATCATCAATTTGAACACCACGATCAATCAGTAAACCTTTACAAGGAAGTGCATTCAACAACAATTGCCAAGAAAAAACCAGACACTTAAGAGGGACCTTTCCTCTCCATAGCCTTTGCAAGGCATCTGCCATACACTGATCTACACTATTAGGACCACCAAAAAGTTCAAATAGCCATGAATACGCAGATTGCACTGAATAACAACCTGAAGAATCTGCCCTCCATACCTATTTATCTTCTTGTAGTAACTTAATAGAAACTCCATCCACAAGCTCCAACAAAAGATTAAAGCTCGAAATCTCATGTTGAAAGAGTCCTCTTCGCCAACTAACATTCCAAACCCATCTAGTGCCATCATGAAAACCATTCTCCAATACATGTGATTCAGCATTTCTCGCCACTGCAAATAATCGCGGAAATGCTTCACAAAATCGCACCCCTCCTACCCACTTATCTCTCCAAAAAAGAGTGTGTAAACCTGCACCCACACTTCTATCAAACTTCTCATCCAGCCATGAATTCCCTTGATGAATAACCTCCAGCAAATCACGCCACCACAAAGAACATCTGTTGTGAACTGATGAACACTGAAGAGAAGAAGCTAATCTTCCATATCTAGATTCCAACACCCGCACCCACAATGAATTAGAACAGTTAACACCTCGCCACAATCATTTACCAAGAAGCGTCCAATTAAACCACTGCACATTCCTAATGCCCAAGCCACCATTCTTCCGCGGTCTACATACAGTTTTCCATTTCACCCAGGGGATTTTAGATCCATCCTTAACACCCTTCCATAAAAAATTCTGTTGGATATTAACAATTTCCTTTATTACCGACTTCGGCACCTTAAAAAAGGATAACGAGTGCAATGACATAGAATTAAGAACGACATTAATCAAAGTCACCCTACCTCCAATCGATAAATACCTATGCTTCCATGACGCTAACCGCTTTTTAAGAGCCTCTAACACACCCTTCCATGCACTAGGCTTTCTCGGGTTAACACCTAACTGTAACCCGAGATACTTTAATGGAAAACTACCAATCTTACAATGTAGGAACTCCGCAGCCAATTTTTCAAAGTCATCACCAGTGTTAATCTCCAATACAAAAGATTTATGGAAGTTAATTTTCATACCTGACATTAATTCAAAGCTATGCAATACTGCTTTCAAAGTCCACAAATTCTGCACCAAAGCCTCTTCCATAATCAATGTGTCATCCGCAAACTGCAGCAAAGAAATATCTGGTCCCCTTTCCCCAATCGTCACACCAGAAAACAACCCACAAGTCACTGCCTTCCGCATAAGAACTCCTAACCCTTCCGCTGCCACAAGTCCCCGCTTCCGCATGTCACATTATTAATAAGTACTAGTAAATAATATTTTCTAAAAAATAAAATTTATAAAAAATTGACAAAAAAAATTTACAAAAAGGATTATATTTACAAAAACTAAAAGTTTATTTTATTTTATTTAATATTTAACATGTCTGATAACTCAGCCATGTTGTCTCAGTCCTCAAGTCTAACAATGTAGTCAAGGAATATAGCTATATAAAATATTTGATTCCATGAGAAGTAGGATTAATTGATAGAGACCGCCGTTCTTCCATTTTAAAGCAACCTGGCATTATAAAGTCAACAAAATGGTAACAAATAGCTTGAGAGATTTTATTAAAAAAAATAAACATTGCAATTTAAGTATAAAAGAAAAAAAATAATAAACAAAGGAATAGGTTAGCCGAACTGGTAAAATTTCTTACTCCCTTGTTCTTCCCTTTTATTATGTTTTCTCCCTTTTTATGTTCTTTACTTTTAGGGTTCTTCTTCCGCTCTAAAAAATTTTCTCTTCCTTTTTTATGTTTTATTTTGAAGATTTCTTTTCTTTTTTTTTATTCTTCCCTTTTTTCAGATCTCTCAAAAATCTTTTTCCTTAAAAAAAATTTGCCGTTCCTCAATTTTCTTCCTCCTAAAAGCTTGTGTAATTATATTGATCTAGTTGTTCATATTTTAGTGTTTCGTACGAGAGAACAAGTTTATAAATTTTTTCCTTTCTCATATATGTAGTTTGTTTTAGAAGTTGAGTGTAAATCTGTATAATATAATATTTCTTTTTCCAAAACAAAATTGATTTTTTAAGATTTTTTTTGTTTTCTGTTAAAATAACTCTATTATATTTTTTTAAAAAAAGTATTTAAAAGTAAAAATTAGTATTCACAATTATCATAAAAAACTAAAATTAAAATTAATCTAAAAATAAATATAAAAAGTGTAAAAATAAAATCATACATTCTAAATTTTTCTCGAACAATTTATTTTCAAAGATTTCACTGTTTAATCTTTTTTAATTACTTTGATATTTAAATTTTTATTTTATTTAATTTCATATATTTAAAGTTTAAAAAATTCTTAATATTTTAAAAAATTCTTATAACACAATATTTAAAAGCTTATTTTAAACTTTTTAATTACTTTTTTGACGAATATACTTTTTACCGATGTTTCTTTCTTTCTTTTTTTCTTTCTTTTCTCACACTGTATTTTTCAGAAACTCATCTCCAATGTGAATTTCTTGAGAGTCTTTTGCAACCTCTTCCTCTGGGGTTTCTTTGCTTACCAAGTATTTTGCACTTTTCTTTTCTCATTGAGTATTTTGCCCATCCTTATTTAAGTTTTTCTTTAGGTTTCTTCTTCTTCTTTAAAAAGATATATTACTTTAAATTTATAAAAATTATTATTTTTATATTAATTATTCTCTTACTAAAATTTATGTAAAAATCTGCCCAAGAATATATTCATCTCCGTATCGAGTTTCCTTGCTTATTATGTAGAAGACCTGGTTCACTCATTACATTAGTACGTAACACTTTGTAACTCTTATTGTATATATTGTGTCACTAATAAAAGACATGAAA